CTACAAGCACCCAGCAATCCCAGTACAATCAAGCATACAACTCTCGTTTATTTAATACAACATAACAACGTCCTTGAGACAGTTAAGAAAATAGCATACTAAAATACACTGTAGCCAATCACAGCCATTGATTTTCCTGGTGGGAATTGAAATCTCAAGGTCATTTGATCAGCCCCTGCTGGCGAACGTGAAAACCAAAATGCGGCATTATCAAGCGAATTTTTGGGGATCTAACATCCCCAACAGTAGTATAGCAATTGTAGTTGGTTGAGACTTCTTGTAGTTGTATGATGTAACTAAGTTTTTCCATCTGGATTTAGCTTCTTTCCTTACAGATTAATCAATGTAAGTAAATCATTTTATTATGAGAATAGTTGTTCTGCTTAATTCTGACTTTGCAAAACTTTCGTAATGATGATAAAATTGAACAAGCTTGTTATTCTCAATACGAATATAGTGAAAACCAACGAAGTTTGGAGGTGAAATATTTAGGCCTTGAAATAGGTGAAAGCACTCCTGTCAATGTTTGTCAATTATACGAAATAACGGAAACAAAATTTATACCAGATCCTTAGAATTATGGTTATCCAGCTCCTGTTATTGGTGTTTAAGTGCCAGAGGAAGATTGGGATCAGAAGACCAGGGTGTGAAGATAAGTGTATGAAAAATAAAATTTAATGATGCAAATATCTCAAGATTCGGTCCCTCCACTCAACCATGGCAACTAGCGTAGACCAGCTGCCTCGTTCGGCACACCCTAACGGATATTAAGTCTTCATACATGGTCGCTGTGAACTTCAGAAAGCAGTACACCATGGAGAACGATCTCTCAAGTCGCATTATGTGTGGTGAGGGACTACCTAGATGTGTGAGACGACAGCAGGGAGGCCAAAATAAGTGCACACTAATGAAAATTGACCTCGGTCAACAACCCACGGCACAAGACAAGAAGGTAATGGTCTCACTGATTAAATGCACTACACAGGGAATAAAACCATTTCCTACAGAACTAACCAACTCGGTTTGAAAAGCTTGTTTCAGACAACAGTTGATTCTGCAGAGGTGTACCAGATGGTAAGACAAACCATTATGTGCCTCTGTAGCAGCGTAAGAGGGGTCAACTGCTACAGATCAGGAATACATGCAAACCTATCTCTACCATGAATCGTTTCTCAGTCCATAAGATGGTTGTCGTAACGCAACCTTCGTAACTTGCGCCAATTATTCGCATTGAACATTCCATCTTTAAGAACACAATGAATCTTGTGAAATGTTTCAGTAAATGTATACCGTTTTAAAAAGAAATATGTTGTTAATCTTAACATTTTGATCTTGCCTGTAAATTGGCATGTCTCTTGTAACATGTTTGTTATTTGAGAATAAATTATTATTATTATTATTATTATTATTAAATGATCAGCCAGTGTATTTAGGTCTCCGTCTAATATTATCGTATCCGAAATATATTGCACGGGTCTCTCAATATTTATGTCATCGTTAAGTAGTAGAAGTAATAACTTCGCTACAGTTGTCAAATCATTTGCACAAGGTAAGGACAGAAGACGGCGACCCATCGCATTCTGAGGAGCTTCAATTTTACATATTCCAATTTCCATAAGGCCCCAATTGGCCTTACCCGATGTCATCTATCCCTGAGGAACTCGCTTATTCAGTTTTCAGTCGCATAATGGACTCAAAAACTCTCCAGCTTTAATTTAAGGCCTTGAGAAGCCTTATCGATGGTTATATTTAGATTTATAAAAATCATATTTACTGGAATATTAATATCTTCCACTGGAGTCCAATACTCTCTTGAAATCAATAGATTTGTCAAACCTGAAAAAATATCTCTTAGAAACCACGTCGTTCTCTGGCTCAGTGATTGTTTCTTTCACATAGTTTGGAATAGCCATCAAAGTATTGTTTTCTATTAGTTTGACAACCACGCTGGTTAGACTAGCAAGTCTATGGTTACTAACGAAATCTCAACTCCACGCTTTCGACCGAAATGATAATGACGTCTTTTGAATCTTTTGACAGGTTTAGACAGTTTCAGAGTTGTCCCAGACAGTAGTAGCCGATTGCAGCAGCAAGAGATCTTGTGATACTGGAATAGACACCGTCAGGACCTCTGAACTTTTCTGATTCCAGATGATAAAGTAATCGCGAGACTACTCCCCCCTCAATAGACAGATTGTCCATCGACAAGCCGCTATTTTCGTAACTAGTGATTGGTCCTTGTTGGGGATGTTAGATCCCCAAAACTAGCTTGTTAAATGCCTTATTTTGGATTTCATGTCTGCAAGCATGGTCTGATCAATTGACCTTTAGATTTCAATTCCCACCAGGAAAATCCATGGCTGTGATTGGCTGCTGTGTATGTTAGTGTGCAATTTTCGTGACTCCCAAGGACGTTTCTATGATGTATAAATAAACGAGAGTTGTATGCTTGATTGTACTGTGATTGCTGGGTGTTTATAGAATATACTTTCTACGCTTACAAAGCCTTATACCTTCAGCTTGGGATGCAAGGTAGCCTACCTGGACGCTGGTAATTGTCTCGTTCGCGTTTATCGACTAGGGTGAACTCGCAATAGTTTCAAGCATACTTAGTGACGAACATAACATTTTAGCGACGGTATTTTTGGAAACACGGATCCTGAAAAACTTGAATTATTACTTAAGCAGCTGCTAAAACTGATGCAGATGTTAACAGACATGAAGATTTCCCCTTCCACACAGCCCAGCTCATCTAATGCAACCACAGCTCCATCGGTCGACGGCATCGCAAATAGCATAGTAGAATTTCATCATGAACCTGATGCCAATGTTACGTTTGATACGTGGTCCCGGCGTTATGAAGATTTATTTAAATTTGATTTCGCTAACCAATATGATGTTTGGAAGGTTCGGCCGCTACTCTGAAAGTTGAGTGCAAGTGAGCTGGATAAGTACTGCAATTTGATCCTGCCTTTGAACCCAGGAGATTGTTCATTTTCTGTACAGCATGTGGTAATTACCTTCGTCTGTTAGGACAATTGGAACGTAAAGTTGCTTTCCGACGTTCGTCATTTACTGGGGTATGTTATGTAACGCCAGCTGATCTAAATTTACTTGGTTTAGATTGGTTCGACCAGCTAAAATTGGCTGACGGCCCGTTATATACCATATTCCCCCTGTTATCACAACCCGAAGTATATACGAAGAAGCTGATGACAGAGTTTTCAACCATTTTTGAACCTGGATTAGGTCGGTGCACTGCTCTGAAAGCAACACTTCGGTTGAAACCTGAGGCTAAGCCTGTTTTCCGTCCAAAGAGACCCGTACGTTACGCAACATCAGCAACAGTAGATGAAAAGCTGGATCGCCTTCAACGACAAGGAGTTATTACTCTCGTTTCTTACTCTAGTCGGGCAGAACCTATAGTCGTTATCAAGAAGGCCAACGGCAAGATACGTATATGTGCTGACTTCTCTACAGGTATCAACGCAGCTCTAGAACAGCATCATCATCCTCTGCCAGTCCCAGCAGATCTGTTCACCATGCTGAATGGGTGAAAGTTCTTCACAAAGCTCGACCTAGTTGATGCTTATTTGCAAGTGGAAGTCGATGAAGCATCTAAAGAGCTGCTTACTATCAATACCCATCGTGGTATGTTCCAGTATAACCGTCTACCTTTTGAGTTTAGACTGTCCCATCTATCTTCCAACAACTAATTGATACTATCCTATCAGATATCTCAGGGGTTGCAGCTTATCTCGATGATATCTTAATTGTTGCGAAGACGTTAGAACAGCTACGGGAACTTGGTACTACAACGCATAAGTGACAAGGGTTTCTGGTTACGCTTCTATTGCAGTCAGTAAAGTATTTGGGATTCATCTTCGATGCCGACGGTTGCATACCGAATCCTGAGAACATCCGAGCTATCAAACTGATGCCTACTCTCACTAATGTTTCGGAATTACTATCTTTTCTCGGATTAATCAGTTATTACTCAGCATTTGTTCCCTCGATGCATGATATTCGCGCTCCATTGAATTGTCTACCGCAGAAGCATAGCACATGGAATTGGACTAAACAGTGTAACGCGGCTTTTGGTAAACTCAAATCTATAATTAGCTGGGAATGGTTATTAACACACTACGATCCATCCATGCCAACCATCCTAGCAGCAGACGCTTCAACATATGGCCTAGGTGCTGTTATTTCACATCAATTTCCAGACGCGTCGGAAAAAGCCGTTATGCATACATCCCGTACACTGAGCCCAGCAGAAAAGAAGTATAGCCAGATAGAGAAAGAAGCTCTTGCCCTTGTGTTTGCTGTTCGCCGTTTCCATAAGTTTCTGTACGGTCGGAGATTCACGCGCCAACCAAGATGATACCTCAATGAAGCTGTTGATGTGACACCTGACTGTATCTGCTAACCCTGCTGCCATGAGACGAATGTAATGTTTCAAATTACGAGACATACGAGTTTAAAAGCAACTGCCACAAAAATCAAGAATCATGCGATAAATAAACAATTAGTTTATACTAGCTCGTGAAATAGATATTGGCATTGAGACTCAGATGACATATAAGGTTTAGGAGACACCTCCAGACGAAACGTTTAGCATAAACACAGAAAAGCCTGAAACATCTGTAAGGGTTGTGGGTTAAAACCCACAAACCAAGGTGTTTGTTTTTTCAGAGTCCTTACAGGGAGACAAGTTTATCCCCCGATTCCTAAAGATTATCAGTGACTTGTTAAAATTATCTCAGCGGCAACAATCTATTTATCCAAATCAAAGAATTGAAGGACTAAACAAAGAGAGCAGGATTCAGTTGATTAACGATAGGACCTGACGACAATCGAGGAATGGACTATTTAGTAATAAATTGTCGAAACGACGTCATGAAGATGCCTAATATGACGCGAACAAATGACATTCTAGACGGACGTTCGCTCCTTAATATCTCCTCAGAACGCGATCTCAGTCTCATAACCGCTGGAAGACAAAGTACTAGCTCAAACTACGTTGGAGAAACTTAGCGGCCAGTACGAATCTCAAGGTAAGTTGCGCATCTACAAAACACCAAGAACAGTACCGAAAGAACAAGAATCGAGCGCAAATGAATCAATTAGTTTATATTCGCTCATCAGAAAGATATTAGATTGGTAAATAATTCTGGTTTAATTCGATTCCCTTGTCGTTGCTAACGTCACTGTCCATCTCTCTGTCTGCTAACATCACTATGAGAGTGTAGAACTCGCAGTAAAACATGTAGTAATAACGAAGTGACCTACTTACTGTGGTTGAGAAGGTTAAAAATTAGTTAAGAATTAGAATATAACTTAGAGCTGGACACTACAAGGAAACATCTGATGGTTCTACATAATGATAGCGTATCTAAGTATATATATCAGTAGCAACTAGAAAAATATTTAGACAGCCATGTAAGTGATTCATACCCTGAGGTATCTAATGAACTGATAGATGCTCGTAAACTCATCGTGTCTGGCTCTGAATATGATGAGGAGCGGAGTCAGCTCAGGCGCAGGCTGATAAAAAAAGCCTACGCAATAATCGTGAACACTGGTGGGTAGATAGAGCAAGAGAGATGGTAAATGCGATAGTCATACGTAAAAATGGGCAATAGCACGGGTGTGTCCGTTCCTTGTCTTCTGTCAGACTCTAAGCTTCTGAATTCCTCATGACCTTTTTTCTCTTTTAACATTTATTGCACTGGATTGTGCTTCTCGAATTATTTCTTCGACCCCCATTATTTTGAGTTGACAGTTGCGTCTCAATGCTGATTTAATATAGCAAGTTGAACTGATATACGTACGTACAAAGTCCGATGTTGTAGCTGACTGACGAAAGCTGCGTAAAAGAATGTACAATACTTATTTATGTCAGCGTTTCCTTTTCTCTTCAGTCGCGAAATCCCGATCACGTACGCGTACTTTCTTGATATTACGTTCTGGAATTCAAGTATTTTATTAAAGAACCTTGGAGCCTAGCCACGTAGCGCTCGGAACTCTCCCATGAGATCAGTTTGCTCTAGTTCTTTGTATGCATTTTTAGATTCGTTAACTCAGTGCCTTCAATACCCTGTCGCATGTAATGGAAATCTATAGAGCAAGATAATCTATGCTATCTTTAAAGGCACCTTTTGGTTTTACTTTGAGGGGGCACCATCAACAGATGCTGGTCTTATGAGCAGAAACTTACTGACACCATATGATCGGCAGTATAACTTCACCTTCAAGAGTTTATTTTCTTATAACCAACACGTATTAACTAACTAGTAATCCTTATTGCTAAAGATAGCTTGTTAGTCTGGGAAGAATTTATCTAATGCAGGAATATGCTCAGTTTTTGGACTATGAACTTCGCATTTTTTCCTCCTAACTAGTAGAAACAAATCCCTTCGCTAACAGTAGTTTGGTGAACTAAACGGAAATCCAGATAGAAGTGGCACTTTATTTGAAGACAACGTACTAGTAAAGAAGTGTGTAACTTGTCATAAAACATTTATTTGCAAAACAGGCATATTCTTCACTCTCTCTTTCTACGTATCTTCTTTTCCTCAAAACATTCAGATCTTGCAATAATTTCGAGTCGGTCACTTCTTTGGCTGTAACATTAGGGCGATACTCTACTGCATACTTCTTGTAAGCTGCACCGTAAGTAGTACATACAACAGTTCTATCTAGAGATGCTCAAATCCATGCTTCTTCATCCTGTAGCATGTCTCACGAGTAGTACTAAAATTTCTACAGTTTAGAAAACTACCCAGTCATGAAAATGTCACAATATACTCGTGAAAACTTAAGTGCCAAGTGTTACGTTTTATAAGAACGAAGAGCACCGAGTCTGAAAAATCATATCTTATGGTTTTGTAACTACTTCAGTATGACTGCAGACAGCAAATTGTTCTGAAGGCGTTAACACGTGTATGACACTACAATGTTAGAACAACACATAAGTTTATACTAGTAGTGTTAATAGTGATAAACTGACAAAATGTCTAGTCTGTAGTTCAACATTTGAAGCAGTCGGTCAAATATGCATAGGTAGGTTTCAAGGAGTAATCACAAATCATTATTATAAATGCGCAACAAGAGGTCTGTAAATAATTAGTTATTGAAGAACAAACCGTAGTTGCAAAGTACCTAATTTCTCGGAGATAACATTAAGTATTAAATCCACCGACTCATCTAAAACTCTATTTTTGTAATTACGAGCTCTTGACGTTCAAAAAGCTTTTACATTAAAGGCTGACTAATTTTAACAAGATGATGTTATTCATTGCGATTTTCAGTTCAAAATAAGTTCTCTAGTTTTTTCTTTGGTTCTTTTATCTTAACAGACTGCACAAATTTGTCGAAAACGTCTGTATTTTACAGTGGTGCCTCATTCAATCTCTTTTTGATTTCACATGGTAAGCCTTGTTGTTTGTTTATCAATACAGTTAGTTCTAGTGATTGGTGACTTCCATATTCCTGATAGGAAACGTTCTTTACATCCTGCATTTAAAACTCTTTTGGCTCCTGGAAAAATACAACATATACTATGCACGGGAAACCTTACTTCAAAGTATATGTATGACTATTTAAAACTTATTTGCGGAGATGTGCATGTTGTAAAAGGCGACTTTGATAAGGTGTGCTTTGGAAGTTTTTGTAATCAAATTTTAGGCGTTGGACTTTCCTCTTACAAAGGTTCTGAGCGTTGGAAACTTCAAAATAGGACTTATACATGGACATCAAATAGTTCCTTGGGGAGATCAGAAAAGTCTAGCTACACTTCAGCGGGAGTTAGATGTTGATATATTGATTAGTGGTCATACTCATAAGTTTGAAGCCTATGAATATGCTGGACATTTTTACATTAATCCTGGTTCGGCTACTGGTGCGTATAGTCCTTTTGAACAGTAAGTAACACTTTTTTACTTTGTTCGGTTACCTGACGCAAATGGGCATGAAAATTCCGTCTATTTTAATGTATGGTGATTGTTGATCTAGATCTTAGTTACATTGTCTATTAGTGAATAGACAGTGTAACTAAGATCTAGACGACTTATTGGATACATGCTATTTTGTGCCAAGTTCTGCATCTCGATTAATATACTAACCAATCAAATTATATTTTCCTTTTTAATTCTTTTCTCTGAACAGAAACCCACAACCTTCATTTGTTCTTTTGGATATTCAAGAAACTGTGATACAATTGTACGTGTACACTCTAGTGAATGATGAACATAAAGTTTCACGCATAGAATACCATAAAAACAAACATGCTTGACTATGAACTAAATGTATTCATTATAATATTCTATAATTTACTTCTTTTCGCATTATCATGAAACTGTTTTGATTATACATACCTATTTGACAATATTTTTGAGTGTATAAATCTAATGTAAATAACTCAAACAATTATGACTGAGTTTTTAATTGGCATGTTGGAGCAATTCAAAGTAAACTGGATTCAATATCACGTTTAGTTTCTTGCTTCGAAAGGCGCCAGGTTAGATAGCTTTAAAATAGAAAACACACCTTATTCCTGGATTATTTCAATAATGTTGCCTTGCTTTTCCTTGGCATATTAGATTTCGGAATTTTCTATCTCCAAATCAACAACCCCTACCGGTCGGTCATTAGTTTTTGACTTAAAACTAATTTTTCGCTAATCGAGTTTTTTCTTCCATATATCCATTTTTCATAAGTCTGCTGACAAATGTTTCGAGTCTACAAAAACATTACTATAATTGTATGAGATGTAGTGTGTAAAAAATCATCGAAGTAGTCTTTACGAATTCTCTCTAAGTATTAGATTATTGCCCTCTGTAAAAGTAAATGACAACCTAAGTTTTAGTAAACCAGATCCATCTTTCTTGAATGCAAACCATCTATAAATATGTGCATATTGAGGCATTAGAGTCCTGTTTGAATGGAGAGCGATGTATTCCCGCATATTCATTTTAAATTTGTTTATCATTCAGTCATTTTACTCGAAGTATGACTGTTTCAGTGATTGGACTAAGAATATATTGTGCCCATGAAGTTACTCCATTACTTGACGCATGCCACGAGGTCAAACACTTGCTAAAATAGTAGAAATACTCAAACAGTATCATAATGGTGTAGCCGTCTGTAGATGGCAAGTTGGTTACAATCTATGAAGCTGAATAGCTGCGACCAGTCTTCCACAACACTAGCACCGATATCGATCGAGAACCCTAATTCTTTTCCAACTAACTTGCAAAGAACTGGTCTTAGTGAAGTGACAGCTAGGATTGACTTGATTTACCTACCGTTACTGATGTTTATCATACGATTGATTAGAAGAAAGCTAGTGGCGGCCAGATCAAAACATGGCACTAATCCACAAAGTCACTGACAAGTGGACCGAGCCATGTTAGTATGTATAGACTACCTGTTTGGAGTTTGCAAGACTATAGTAACTGATGGTCAGAGACCTTGAATGACATGGTTCAATACCGTTTGCAAAGTCACAGGTGCATCTATTCCTTGTCTTCTCTCAGATTGCGGGCTTTTGGATTTCTCGTCAACTTTATCTTTCTTTTTTAAAATTTATTTCACAGGGTTATACTTCTCAAATCACATCTTCGACTCCTACTCTTTCTGATTACCGCTTACACATCTACCTCTATGGGATTTCGGTTGACAATTGCGTCTCAGTGCTAATGTGGTATGGCAAGTTGGACTGATGTACGTACGTACAAAGTTCGACATTGTAGCTAACTGAATGAAGGTTAAATTATGAGACAGCATACACTACATAGTGGTAATTTTCATGTGGTTTTCTAATATGAATATTATTTTTATAGTTAGTCCTTCGTTTTAAGTTGTACATGGCGTAGGGACGGGGATTTTACTTCTAAACATGATTTATTATACTTAGTAGTACAACTGTACCATAGTAAAGGGATTTTCCTAGGTATTGCCTCCTAAACATAAGGAACTGTGTAGTGAATATATCCCTAATAATCTAGAGATGCTCCGTTAAAGACTGCCGCTTATTCTGGAGCACTAGTGTAGATTAAGACCATACTCTAGTGTGAGTGCGTATTTTCTTAAGGTTTACTTGACGTAGGGAAGACACCACAAGGAAACCTCTTAGGGTTCTACTTAATGATAGAGTAGTTAAGAATAAATTCCAGGAGCAACTAAAAAACAGGCGGTCATGCAAGTGATCCGAGGCAGCTTGAAGTGATATCCAAAATGTTTTGGAAACAACAGTAATATCCGCTAGTAAGGTGAACATCAAGTAAGGAAAAAGCGGTGGATTTCAGTAGCATGTAGCGCACTGGTAGGTGCTCGTAAACTCATTCCGTCTGGCATTGAGTACGATGAGGAGCGGAGACAGCTCAGGCGCAGGCTGATAAAAAGCCTATGCAACAATCGTGAATGTTTAAGAGTACCGAAAGTGAGGGGGAATGGAAAAGGCAACGCAATAAGTAACAGTAGACATCTGCCCTGATTTATCAAGTAAACCGGTATAAGAATCCGACTGTGAGACTACTTCGGAAAAGGATGGTAACCGACATAAGTCCTCCGAATCTTTATGAAGTCGAGAAAGCGTTAGGAAATCTGAAGCGAGGGAGAGCTGCGGGTCCTGATAGATTGACTCCTGAGATATTTATGGATGGTGTTCCAGCTTTAGCAGCTAGGTTGACTGAGATCTTAGGTAGAATCTGCGAACTGGGCGTAATCCCATCCGACTGGTCTCAATTCCTGATTGTCCCAATTTATAAGAAAGAACAAAATTTTTCATGTGACAATCAAAGGGGAGTCAGTCTAACTAATATAGTTTCTAAATTGTTAGCCTTGATAAACCTTAGACGCCTAACTGGAGCTCGTGAAGAGCAGACTAGAGAAAACCAGGCTGGTTTTTCCCACTCTTTTTTCTGAAGTTTCAATCTTATGAACTGTTCAAGACCATATTTTCTCTTTTTTAACTGCTTCCTCTGGGGTATACATCTCGAATGATACATTCGATGATTAATCTTTCTGATTAATGCTTATACACACTGCATACACAGTAAATAACTGATGTTGATTGTTATTGGTTTTATGTAACTGAGGTCTAGTAATAATCGCTTAAAAGAACCACATTAGTAGATTAGGACTATTTGTCAAGGAAGGGTCACTTTTTCATTGAAAACTGAATATTCCTATAGAGATAATGAATACATAAATTAACATAACTAGAAGTCAATTTAGAAATCAGAATCTTAGGACAGGAGATCAATCATCATCCAAATAACAGCTTTTAATTCTTGTCTCACCCACTGACAGATTAACCAAATCGTTCTTTATAAATTTACCCGAGTATTTTCATGACAACTAATAACAAACATTTTGTGAATTTACATCAAATATCTTAGGTTCTTATAGTAATTTATAATTATAAGTAGATGTTCTGGTAGTTTGGTGGCTTTGAAGTGCTGAATTTATAGGCTATAAAAGTAAACCTATGGGCTTATCAACTTAATCTTTAGATAAGATAAGATAGATAAGTCTTTTGACAACAAAAGCATGACTCAGCTATAGAAAGATCAGTGACTAATGGTTTTCCTTTAGACATTATGCACTTAACAATAACTAGGGATTTAAAAGTATCATATGAACTCTATGGGAAAGCTGAATAGATATGACCTATAGAGGACAAAGTATACTGAGTTCTGTTTAGTTTTGTAATATTTGTTGAAGCTATACTAACGATATCAACTAATTAGTCAGATACCAAAATATGATGATTATAGAGTAAAAAAAGCCCGTGTTTTATTTAAAAGAGAAAATACAATTAATTTTAAGGAATATTATGGTCAAAAACCGACAACTTTTATTACTGGATAACGGTAAATATATGAATTAAAGCCTACTACTGAATTTAGTGGAGTAAGCCATATCTCTAATTAAATTGTAAGCCTTAAAACAGTAAGCTTTAAGGTGAATAGTCTTATGTGTATACACTGTCTTGAGAATGCAAAGTACACGTTATGTTATGATCTAGTTGTTCACGATAGAGAATCGTGTGGACATAAGATAACGTCAGCAACACAGACGTCAAAAAAGCGATACTGTTAGAAAAATATTGATTCAGTGAAAGGATATAAAAAAGGAAATAACATAGCAATCCTGTATTGAAAGTAGTAAAATTCCTTGGGTCTTCTTAAATCTTGACGAGTGAACAATTGTTTCAATTTTCAACTTAGCAACTAACCTTTGAATTGATCACTGTCAAGTTACTTTCACTAGATTTTAGTCAATATCTTACCTATTTCTAGGTATATAGATGAAAAAGTTCTGGTTTCTGATGTGGAACACATTGCTTTTACCATATGGAAGCTACATACTAACATCTTCAATTTACTCATAATTGTAATATTTAACAAATGATTACTTCTCACGATTTGGAATAAAGTTCTAGCGAAGACGAGTTAAGGACAGCAAAATCATGAGTGAATGGTAAATTTTTCTATAATTATAAAATAAGCCACTATCTTTATATTGAAATATACAAAGTTATGGCTTATAACCGTTGTTATGCGAACACTACTGGCAAAAACTGTTTGAAAAAATGAATCCCATGGTTTATAAGATCCAAATTTTGTATGGTTAAAAGAACCACTAATAGTCTGTTCCATTTAAATATACAAGATTATATACAATGGGAATGGAATGAATGTTTATTCATCGTCTTTTTCATAGTGAATGGTAATTTTACGCTTCTTTTTCGGATTGGTCAGGACAATGTTATGTTCAACTTCTTCTTCTTCCTCTTCTTCATTTTCCTCATCAATTACTCCAATATCTTCAATGTCTTCTACATCAGATCCTGAAGTGTAAGCGATTTCTTCTTCCTCTTCTTCTTCACTTTCGTATTCTTCATCAGATTCTACATTTATTTCTTCAGCTTCTAGAGCTTTTTCAAAGGCAGACTGATCTATGTTATATATTTCCTTGGAAGATGTTGATGCGCGTAATCGTTCTAACAGTTCTTGTTCTACAGTACGTTCAATGCGTGCTACACGTAGTGCTTTTGCTTCTCTTCTTAGTTCACGTCTTTCAACTTTTTGATTAATAGGCTCTAATTTTTTTTGTCTTGATAACGCTAAACGTCGCATATTTTTAAGATATTCTCTTGTGCGGAAGAATCTCTGCTTGACGCGGCTTATTATCCATTTATCCCAATATAATAAGTGCTCTTTGATTTGTTTCAGAGCTTGATCTTTATTTCTGTGTAACTTAATCCGCTCCCACTGTTTACCAGGATAAGGTATACGTTCAGGTTCTTTTACATACAGGTAGATGATGCCATCTCGTTCTTTTATAGTGGCATACTGTGAATTGGCTAATGGGCAAGAATGTCGATTGCACAATCCCGTTACGTTATCATCATTTCTGCAAAACCTTCCAGTTTTAGTTTTGACAACAAAAGAGCAAAATGAATGGTTGATAGTGTGCCATATTACGTCGTCGTTGTTCATTTCTTAAACAAGAAAAGCAATGAGTCAAAAGTGAATGAAAATCACATATAAGAAAATACCGTAGTCCAAAGCTTTAAACTGACAGAAAATTGGATTACTTATTCATTGCCTAATGATAAGCTAAATGTTAACTTATTTTTGACATAGAAGTCTAGTAAAAGAGCTCGATAACGGGAACCAGGTTACTCTTCAAAGGACAGAAAAAAGATCTAACTTGCCGCAGACCTGATGCACTACTTCTAGTATTTTAAAAGGTTGTGGAAAGACTTTATATTATTGGATAATGAGACAGAAAGCATTGTGAAATCCGACCTTTTCTAGATGCCAGGTCTATATCATTCTGTTTTAATAAGATACAAGCTTAAGGCATATTAACTCTGGAGGGCTTAGATACAAATGAAGAAACACAGAGCATGTAGCCAAGACGCGTAAAATTAATTGCTTCATACGGAAACAGTATACAGCTATCATCGAGAAGCGTTTTTAACATTTTCTCCCTCAGCCAGTCAGCTACAGCGTCGAACTTTGTATGTACGTACATCAGTTCAACTTGCTATATCAAATCAGCATTGAAACGCAATTGTCAACTCAAAAAGACTAGGGGTCGAAGATATAATTTGAGAAGCACAATCCAGTGCAATAAATGTTAAAAAAGAAAAACGACCATGAGGAATTCAGAAGCTTAGAGTCTGACAGAAGACAAGGAACGGATACACCCGTGTTATTGCTAACGACTTTGAGCCACGTCATCCAACATCTCTAACCATCGGTTACTATTGTCTCACATACCCCAACCACGTAGTTTACACACACTGACATGGCTTACTCCAGTTGTCAGTGACTTGATGGATTTGTGTCACATTTATTTTGGCCGCCGTTAGCATTTTTCCAGCCTACTAGTACACCACAGAGCATCGCTCGCTGGGGCAGTCGGTGGTTGGGCATTCGTGATACATGTCCCAACCACATAAACTGATAAATATTCACTACTTCATCAACTGATCTGCCTTCCTCATCTAGTACCTTAGTAGTCACCGTTACCGCAGTAGACGGTAGGGTGAGATGTGACATTTTATGGTTGACCTTTACTAACCCTTTCTTCCTTGTGAGAAAGCAGCATCGCTGCAGATGCTGGTCGTCCGAGGGAAACACCTTACTGCTATCACATCCCTCTGGAGTCAGCAGTACGACTTTGCCCTCAGACCTAGAGTAGCTGCTTTTAGTCTGATTGTTCTGCAGTCAACCTGCCTGGTTTGGTAGGACCTATATTTTGAACAATAAAGCTCTGTCCATTCATCACGATAGGCAAGCTGGACCATCACGTCAGGCAAGCAGTTGCAGTTTTGTTAGCATTATCTAGCGTGAAAAATACTTCAGTTTGCGAAACTTAACAGATTTGCACCACCTTGTTTTGTAGGATGAGAACGCCTGAGGAAAATTACAGTAACGGGCAACATAGTTCGCGGCATGACTAAAGGATCGTTCTGGTTGGGTTACATAGAAAAAAGACGCAACCAAATAAAACATACAATAAATTAAATAAGATAATTCGCTTTATTACAGCAGTGAACTTTACGTCCACTATTTTATTCCACAAGTTAACAAATCCCTCACGGTCAGTACAAGCAAAACGATTTACGAGTCAACCCTGTCTATATTTATATCGAAATAATAATTCAACGTTCTCAGGAAATTATGTAGGCGATAAGGGGGGGTAATAAACATTGGTGATACGAGGTACTTCGGATATTTCAAAATATGTTTTTCTGATAACGTACAAACCATGCTTACACTTACCATAACGAACCAACTTGATTCACCCGGCTTCCAATATCCAATATCATTTTCAAGAGCTAGTATAAAACACTTTATTTCATTGCACTCGATTCTTGTCCTTTCTGTACCCTTCAAGGTTTCTGGTAGCGTCCAAACAATGGGGGTCTAACCACTCGACCAAAATCGCGCTCTGAGGAGACATTAGGGAGTGAAAATCAGTAGATGGTGTACATCGTTAGCGTAATTTGGTGTAGAATGTGCGTGACTTAACATTTCGGTTGATTTACTTTTAAACCGTTTATCTCTGCACATTCACCAACTAATGTAAGGTCTTTTCAGAGCTCAGTGGAATTCTCTTCGCTTCTAATAGACCTCCAGAATCTTTCTCTCGTCTGAATAGATCAATGCCGGCATGCTGACGGTGTCTAACAGGTTTTTAATAAATATCAGGTAAAGAAGTGGACCTAAGTTGGTCTCCTGTGAAACTCCCTAGGTTGAAACTCATGAAGTCGCGTTCATTCTATTTACCTTGATGTGAAACTTCCTATTCACAAGGTGGTTTCTGAGCCAAGATAGGAGAGATCAGTGAAGCCCATTCCCGCAAAATACGAAAAAAGGACTGCGTAGGGTACTGTGTCAAATGCTTTTTCAGAGTCAAGAAATAATATGTGTCGCTATTATGTTGTCCAACTGTTCCGCGCTATGAGAAGATTGGATGAGTACGACCTGCCTTTCTGAAACCCTATTTGGGCTACAAGGAGTATTTTATTCTTATCCATATACTCTCTCATTTGTTCGTTCACCAGTCCTTCCATTACCTTTGATAGTATTGGTAGTAGTGAGACTGGTCTTTAACAGACTGCGTTCTTCCTATATCGTCCTTTGAAGATTTGAGAGAGAGAGTGTAGCTTGTTTTCATTCAACTGGGAGTTGGTGTGACTCCAGTGAATGCCTGAACAGGTCACATATCGGTGAACTGACAGATTCTGCACATTGTTTCAAGACCATTGAGCTATTATTTTGCACAGTCTTGTGACTTTCCTGTGTGTAGTGATTTTAGTTTCCTTAGTACTTAGTCAGCAGTAATACGGATATTCCATAAGCCTTTAGCTAGCTCTGAGTTTACGTAGTAATCTGAACATGTGAATGCCTGGTCTAACTGATTGGTGAAGTTCGTGTTGAAGATCTCGGTCACCTCTAACTCTTCCCCGTTCCGACCTTGGAGAGCACACGAATTCTGATATGTTAATATTCATTTTGTTATGAACCTAAACAGATTCTTAGGGTTTGCCTAAATTTTAACAGCTAGTTTAATCTGGAAGCCTCTCTTATCACTTCGAACTTTAGAAGTGCATCTATTTCTCAATGCCATGTGAGAACTACGATCGGAATCCTTCAAGGAGACCTTCGACTTGTACCAGGCTCTCATCTTCACCTGTAGTAAGCGTTCAGTGCCGCACCAAACCTACGTTCTTCTGTTTCCAGGTGTGTGGTGTGACTGAGGTACACTGTCTACGATAGCATTCTGAATGGTGTCTCTCACTGTTTGCCATTGATCATCTGCTGTCAACCTCTACCAATCCTGTGGCCATGAGGCATATAAAAAGATCTCTTTCATAGGCGTATAATATGCCCTAGTGTAGCGAAGATAGGGCTCGTTTTCGATCTGCCTGAGTGTTTGGTTTATGACCATGTGAAACAAGTATGTGCATGGTCACTACTTCCTATTGGTGTATGGACGTGAATTTCCTCTACCAGGAGCTGATGATTTGTTAACAAATAATCCAGGTTTGAGGACTCACCTTCTTTAGTCCATCTGGTAGTACTGCATACATGTTAAGTAATCCCAGATCGTTTAATGTCTGCGCCAAATCGTCTCTGGAACCATCGAGTGGGAGTTGTACCCATTTTGCAGGAATATAGAGATGGGGTGTTAGAATCTCCAGCGTAGAGTATTTGACCAAACCCAGGAAGTTGCAGTTGCAATATCGCCCCAGTCAGTATGTCTTTCTAGGCCTTGTACTTGAGGGAGGTCGGTTAATCCATTCAATCAAGTATTTCGTGCCATTTGTGTGGGAACATTGCCCACTGGGTGTCGTATAGCCACTCGGCTTCTAAGTAGCTGTTAATATATACAGGCACTCCAACTCCTGTTTGATGTACCCTGTCGCATCGGAAGAGTGTCATGCCTTGCAGTGTCAGGGGATAGCCAGCCTCCAGTTAGGATTATGATCTTCAGACCCGTCTGAGTGCACATATTCCTTATTTCTAACAGCTTACCCCTTAGTCCTCTTACTTTGCTATAAAGGCACTTGGTGGTTTGTCTCATCACCTGGCGCACCTCTGAGGCAACTGCCATTGTCGGATTTTCAAATAAGTTGTTCAAACTGGGTTGGCCAGTTCTGTGCGCCAACTAAATCACTCTTAGCGGACATGCCGTTGCATGATCCATTTTGAAGGCTTTGTTTGTGAAAATCCCTCCATCTATACTTTTGTAATATGTCTTTATTAATTCCCTCACTTGTACAATTGGTTAATCTGTTTGATTCCATTTTGAGATTGGGGAGGTACCAAATAAACATAATACTCCGCGAGATATCAAATGTTAATCCCGTTAATCTAGAAATCAGAGGAAAGGCGATTCTAGATGAAGAAGTATATTTATTGCTAGCCTCGTGACACCAAAATAATCAGGATACTATGGTACACGAGCGGCTAACGTCCAGGCAGGAGACGCGTGGGAATAACACGCTTAGCGCGCTGGAGATAGTCTTTTGTACAGATAAACAAAATGTGTACAATATAACAATTATTGTCAGAACTAAGTACAATAATAAATGTTTATTTTTCAGGAATTGTGTTTTCTTCGTAAAAGTACACCACTACAAGATCATAATATTTGTATTTTATTAAAGTTTCTATTTATTCTGCCTCCAGTGAGTTTCTGTTTCCTTATGACCTGAATTATGTTGTTTAAACTGATACTTAGTCGTTGCGACAGACATTTTGGCTTGTTTCTCTTTTGATTGGATTGTATGAATGGACTGTAATTGTGCATTTTGATTGTGAAATGGAGTATTCTTCCATGATTGGAAACACTGTGTTATAAAGCAACCAAATATTATCTATCCAGGAGGGATGGAATAACATTTATTTGTGCTGTTGCTTTGATTAATTGAACAACTGTTGAAGGAATAACCGTGGTAATAATGTTTAGAGACGTTATTTACCCAAATCACTTGTTTTGGATTTAATCTGGACAAGACGAGTATCTAACTTCCTTTACAGTTATTCCTCAGTCCAACCTCAATTTGGATCCTACGTCTTTTGAGGACGTAAAATTCCTTACATAACTGTGCAGCATTGTTGACGAGCAACGTGTATCTGATGCTGATGTGAAGGCGCGGATCGGCAAGGAAAGGACAGCATTTCTGCTACTGAAAAATATCTGAAACTCCAAACAACTTTTAACCAACACCAAGGTCAGAATTTTCAATACAAACACCAAGGCTGTTCTCCCGTATGGAGCGGAAACTTGGAGAACTATTAAAGCCATCATCCTGAAGATAAAAGTATTCCTTAACAGTTTTATACGCAAAATACTTCGGATCCGTTGTCCAAGAATCATCAGAGAAAACCTAGTGTGGGAAAAAGCAAACCATATTCCAGTAGAGGAGGAAATCAAGAAGAAGCACCGGAAGTGGAGAGGATACACATTGCGCAAAGCACCCAACTGCATCACACGACAAGCCCTCACTTTGAATCCTCAACGTGAAAAGAAAAGAGGAAGTCCAAAGAACACGCTAGGCCCAGAAATGGAGAGAGACATGAGAAGAATGACCAAAAATTGGACAGAACTAGAAAGGAAGTCCCAAGACAAAGTAGGTTGGAGAATACTGGACGGCGGTCTATGCTTTACTGGAGGTAACAGGCGTAAGTAAGTAAGTAGGATGCAGAGAAGGTTTTTACTGCAGGTATCTGTACCATTTTATATGGACACTGAAATTTAACTGCTCAGCATTACTAAATACATCGGTTGCCCACTCGCGTAAACCTGTTTCCCCTCATGAGGCGTAGTGCGCCGTGCACGAATCTCAAATAACTCTGGCTTTATATCATTTTCTTGTGTCATAAGTGCTGTCCATATTTTTGATTTCAGACTTTGATTCTCAAAACATTTTTATATGCCTCTCCTAGACTTTAGGATAATATGTGATCCGACGAACCGAGCCCGTTATTAGTTATCCTATCCTTCTTATGTACCTCATTCTAGTTTATTTCTCATCTGCAGTTTGAACTGTTTTCTGCCAGTCTGTGGTTGCTGATGGTGTCAAAATTATGGATCTGAAATATATTGCATAGTTGGCTATTGATACAGATATGTATTATTTTTGACGATGTTTGTGGTAGTTATCCATGGTTTAGCTCCGCTCGACTGAAATTTTTCGGCGTTTGTGCTTCAAATTCCTACTTTGGATTTTAGTGAGATCTGTGAATTCCAGATATTCTTGAATTGTATGATCGAGCACTTGCATTGCCAAACCGTGTCTTTACATATGTATGAGATAATCCTTGTCTATCCATGTTGCTAGTAATCTAGTTCGTTCTCTGCTGCAGCAGAATGTTGGTGATGGTGTCTGGCAAACGGGTCAAGAGTGTCTTGCCTGGACAAATCTTTATAAATACCTGTATCTTTTAAATTAGGGTTTCGATAAATTGGTCTGGTTTCGCTCATTCTATTTGTGCAAAATATGCGCTTCTTGAGAAAACTGATTGGCAGTGTTTAGGGAACCTATTATCACTGAAAGATAGAGATTTCGTGTTAGATTGTTAACAGTTACAACAACAAGCGAAATCGTTTGTTAGAAGTGGAGCCGTAGTTCTTTATTTGTTCAAAACAAAAATTATCTTATTTGTATAATATCCCACGAATTGTTCTAATCGCTAGATGTATCGCCTAGTGTGTATTTGAATGATGATAAGATGTATTATCTACGGTCGGTAGGGCTAACTGACAGGCCATGTGTATCAACCATATTTAAATAATCACTACCGTATATATCACCACATATTCTTCGTGTTATTGTTATTTTTGTAGTTTTTATTCATTCATTTACTTGAATGAGTTTAATAACTTGTGGAATCTACACAGGAATGCCTCGTCAATATCCGTATTCAGAAAAAGCACAGTATCTAACACCCAACCAACAAATTATGCAAAATGAAAGTTAATTTTTTAGAAAACCGAACAGCTCATGTATACGCATGCAAATTGCTGGACTGATCCATACAAAGAAATCTAGGAAAAGCCCTTAGTCAAATGAATGATCCACTAGTTCAAAATAGGCTTGTAAGTATTTGGAATTCCTATTTATCATATGTCCTTCGGACAGAATATTACCAATCCGAACTCCTCTAATCATCAGAAACATGGTCACTGCTATGCTCAATGATGATCAGTAGTCGCACTAAAAAACTGCTCTTTTTCAGATTATATGGTTGAATGTACTGGTATCTTATTAAATATTTGCATGCCAAATGAGATACGAACCAAGTAATCATCAATTAGAATGTCACTAACCTATCAGAAAATGAAAAAAACCCACACATTGGATTCCTTCGACTCATAAACTGACAAGACAGATTAAATTATCCTGTCTCAATGAATACTTCACCATTCCATAAAGTATGTGAGACAAAGTTAATTCGAATTTTCTTTTTTTCTTTTAAATCATTACAATATTCAAAATATCTACTGAAGTATGAAGTTTACAACACCTGTTATAAAAATCATCTAAAAAACATTTACGTGTTTTTTCGAGATCTGTGAATGGATTTCATGATTCTTCCTCTTAGTTGACTCCTCATTTCTTCCTTTTAGATTGTGGACGACTTGACTCTTTGAATGAAAAAATGGTATAGAAAAATTACTTGACTTTAACAGTGTGTGGTAAAAGTATGGTAAACTTTCATGAAAAGTCATTAACAGAATCCTCATTTATACATTTTTTTTCCATAATACACCTAATTAAAGAGTTATTTCCTATGTAAAGTCTCTCTTTAAAGAGTGCTTATCTTGTATAAGGGCTGAAAGAACCACTCTCATTCTAAAGAAAAGTCCTGATGTACTGATATAACGAAGAATTTCATATATTATACATTATCGAATTATACACAGCTACTGTAAGGGTGATTGAGTTTACGCTATCATTGAATTCAATACTCAAATGGCACACTACATGGAGACTAGATCACGTTAAACCAGGTGCAAAATTCACAACCAAAATAGGGAACCAAAGTAAGCAATATGCAATATTCTACTTTAAAACGCAATTAAATGCAGTCATATTCAGTGAGTCTGTAGTAGAAATCAATGAAAGGAAATAAAATGAGTGTTCGCCCACGCTCTTTGACCAACCTTGTTTTCCTTTCAGTACCATACATCACATACCCTTAGGTAAATTCCTGCAGCTGAATCCAAAATCCAGATTATATATACAGGAGGAAAAGAGTTCACGCTGTTTGAGTAGAAACATCAGCTTGATGTTAAATGTTGACGAGTGAGGAGAGGCTGACGATTGAGTGCTATTGATAAATCTTTGGCTTATTTCTGAGGAAACAAAGTCCTGCTATTGACTGAAAATGTGACCTAATTCTCTGAGAGAGACAGAATTATGGTTATAAGTGAGCCAAGGTATATTTCTGATTTGAGTCTGCCAGTAAAATCTCTCTATTCAGTTTTGGTTTTTTATCAATCAGGTGGCAGATAGGAAGGCTTCATATCATTGGCAGAATCGGGCTACAGTCTAAATCAACCTAAACCATTGTTAGAAGTTAAATAATTAAACACAATGTACTGGTACTGTAATTACAAAGAAAAACAAGGACATGTCAATGTATGACATAGGATTTTTTTAGAATTGAGATCGAAAATGAATTTATCTTGAATATTGGTATTGGACATTGAAGGAAATAATATCCTAAAATATTAACATTATCTAAACAGTCATTAAAATAAAGAAACCACAATATGCTTCATTGGATTCTTGGACTTTAGCAACGTATACGTTTCATGCTTTCATTGTAAAACCTACTAGTTAGAAAAGATTTCCTATACAATGGAGTATTCATAAAAAGTGTCCTCAGATTTTACAAAACACAAATCATCTGGCCTAAGCAATATACTACATTCATATTTTCAGGTTATAGTTTTTACTGTTAATTATCTCACTTGCCTTTATATTCAGTTAAGACATATAAATGCACTTCTAATGCACTTGATCACACTATTAGACTGATGCATCATGTATAAAGCATACAAGGTGACTTAAACTTCTAAGTTGAAAGCTACAACCTTGACGTTTTAAATTGTTTTTCACTATAGAGCTATGGAGATTGGTGTTTATTATTGAAACCAATCACTGTTAGACCATCATTAGAAACCTGAAAGCGCTGGACATCCGTTTCGTCCTGGTATGGGACTCATCAGTGCTACACATCAATGACTCTCGCTAACCGCAGAATCAGGAATCAAAACCTTTGAGCTTGGGGGCGTAGGCTTAGTATCTGAACCATTCGGCCGGCATCCAACGGTATTAGTGACTAACTATGATCAATCTAGGGATTTTGAGCGAACTCACGCATTTATTATTGGCAGTTACTACCTACATCCGATAGGGTTGAACTCCACTGGTTAAGTATTCTCCCTAGATCTGCGAGAATTTCCTTGCTAAGCCAGTCACTAGTGATCACATTCACGATTTTTCATTATAAAGTTATGGAGATTGTTGTTTATTACTGAAATAATGTATCGGTCATTGTTGTATCCGTCAGCTTGTAAATATGTGAAGTACGCCTGAATCATCCATATGACCTGTTTATAATTATCCAGTCAATCAAGTGTTGATGATACGCAAGTGATAATTTGCTCAATTACATTTGTTTTGTATTTATCTGGGTCCTCTATGTGTATGAAGAAATCAACATATCTAGTATAAGAACATGAGAACAAAAGATGGTGATCTGACCTGCAACATAAAATTTAAACCATTTTTCAGTGTACAAACATTTCCACAAGTTTATTCATTGCTTATTACACAATCAATAAATGAGAAACACGAATAAAAACTTATTGTATAATATAATGAAAAAACCAATACTTTTTCTTGTTATACTTGGGCCAGACCATAATTGAACACTTGAATGATTTCCATTTACTTCATTGGAAATAATACTTGGTTTTGTATAGGTTTTTTGGCGTGCTCGATAGTTATCTTCATCTACCAATCTATTATCTGATGAAGCATTTGAATGAATAATACTTGGTGCATTATTGTCATCATCATCATGAACACCAAGTAGTAAATGATCAATTTTAGGTGACCTGAAAGAAGAAGAAGAAGAAGAAAGCAGTTTAAGACTGTTTATTATGAATGGACTACGCAATGTCAATCTGGGATTTAACAGTTGTAAAATCTATGAAAAATCAAATATTAATTTGATTGACACTAGAATTTAATAATGCATATTCAAAAAGAATTATAAAAGCCAATAAAAGCTCCAACCTAATTGAAAATACATGATAATAATAACAATAGTGGTAATAGTAATTAGGATAGTTAACATTTGTCTGATATGGAGACTGGAGTTAAGCTTGCTGATAAGATTCAAACTGAAAATGAAAGTTTTGTCTACAGATCCTTCAGTTTCAACATTTTTGATAAAAAAAAATAGAAATAGATCGGTTTCACATTCAACGCTTTTTTCCTCGATGAATTGAATTCATTTTGCTTCAGAACTTTGTATCCTCGTTCCAGGCTATCAATGAGTGTCTAAACTTTGAACAGTTTGTAATTTAAATAAAATCTTGTTATTTCTTGAACAGTTTTTCTGGCATTCTTTTCCTCATGTTATAAATTTCTTCAGACAACAAAAAACATATTTTAAACGATACTTATGTATGTTTTATAACCACAAAGTTTATTCACGAGTCTTTCTTTTTTTGGAATGAAATGTCGATAAAATGAACATTTCCATTTCACCTGACAAGGTGTGTGTGTTGGTAAATTTGAATAATACCTAGTTAGTAATCACTTTTAGCAGTTTAAATAGTGATTTGTATGTGATTTTACTCTTGGAAACATGATGGCAATGAGTTTCGTTAGTTTGGAGTTGTAAAAAAAATCAATTTTTTAAAGTTGTTTGAATAATATTGAAATTAGAGGTTATTTTAGTTTGAACAGTTGAGAAAGTGATCAAGCTCTTACGTAATGAGTGTTGATCAATTAACTGACTATTTTAAACTTTACATTAGCAATTTTAGTTACAAGCATTCGCATTTTCTCGTTATCGTTTGAGATATGTACATTCTAGGCGCATTACCTTGTTGTAGTCATGTAAATCACTAGTTTTAATCAGTGTTTGGCAGCGAAATTCAGGATATTCATTTCATGCTGTTCAGAATTCGTCAGCCTAATATACTTGCACATCAATGTTGATATTCATACTGAGATTCAAAAACCAAGTATCTTTTGTCTTGAATTTTATTCCAACTTTAGTTAAAAACTGAACACTATAGTTTCCGAAAAAGAATACATTTTCCGTGTATCTTCAATACTTTTCAGCTATCAATGTTCATTCAACTTAAATCAATTCGTGAAGTAGATTAACTTCAAAAATAAACATCAATTTCAAAGACTTCAGTTTTTGCTTACAGTAATTCAGTATCTTTATTCATTAACTGATTTTCATCATCATTATTATTATTCTTATAGTTCATACTTTGTCTTTGATCATTAATCACAAATAATGCATTACGCAATCGTTTAGTTTGTTCCATTAAAAGAGTAATTCTAAGTTCATTCGCTTGAATTTGTCCTTTCAATTCTTCATCAACACTTTTGTCATCTATTCATCAATTGAAATATGAAAAAAAATAATAATAAATTCAGTTATATTTCTTACTAAATATACCAAAATTTAAATTATACTGACAGCCTTTCGTGAATCAGTTGGATGTATGGATAGAGGAGTCTATTAGATGTTTAAACGAAATTCAAACAGAAACAAGAGGCAGCATACATTTCAGTCTAATTAAATAATGTCCAAATCTATTTATTGTAACGCTTAAAATCAAAACACTTTCATAGCTTACTTTTAAACCGTAACCATAAATCCAATCATGAACACTCTTAACCCGAACACTCAACATCTAATACCCAAAGCTTAATCATTTTCCTTTGACCTGGACACGTAATTCAACACATGAATAATTCATTTTACAACAACTACCTATTTACCGTCATTTTATTATTTTGTAGCTGGCTGCTGGATAACAAAGCACTGGCTGATAAAACTCCCAAAGCAGTCAGAATCGTTTGATTTTACCGAGAAATTGACAATTTAATGTTGTCATATTCATGAAATTAATTATATCATCAATTCAAGTATTTTAAGTACATATATATTATTTTATCTTTTGATCATTTATCGAACTGTTTACTTATATTTTCTTTAAACCAAATGATTGAAATGATTTAATGAACCTGTTCATGACAATGAGTACATTGAAACATCAGTTTTACATTTAAAGATTTCACTGATTAATTATCAACTTTCTTGATAACAGAAACTTAAAAACTTTCTTGTTATTTGAATTGTGATTACAGTTGAATGCGTTTCGTTCAAGCATTCATATCGATTACTTATTTCGGATAATCTGTTTTCACATCGCTTCATAGAATAATTTCTAATATTTTAAAACTATTTTATCAGCTGCGAATCAAAATTCTCAAGAAAAAATAACTATATTCAAGTTGAAAAAACTTGCTTTAATTTCTACAAATTCATTTATTGATCAAGTACAGGTTTATACTGTCAAACTTTAGATATACTGAATATAAATTATCAGACCCAAATGACACCATCAAACTTTATATACCGAAGTAAGTGAAGTGAGGATTTGTTTAAAAGCCCAGTGATTTCACCGATAGGCCATCATCCCGATTTCTCAATTTCCAAATTTGCCTGAAATTTTGAATAAACTAAACTATTTTCGCATTGAGAACAAAACAATGAAATACATTGAGTCCATCTGTGGTGTGAGCTACTTATAAGTAGTATATAACGTGAGTGTCAACGTAATGTCTCGCAGCAGAAGATGGGTGAAGATCAACAAAGGAAGAGTTAGAACACAATGGGATTTGTATGAAAGGCATGAATAGTGACAATGGATTGATGTTTTGCAACAGGAACAGTCCAGTTCGATATGATGAACTGATAATTTGCAAATTAACGATTTACGATATGGTGTTCTGATTTTACTGAGTAACTCTGTAATTTTCGTCAAATACAATTCGGTTGCCCCACCTGTGTTCTCCTTCACTACACATCCTATTCCGTTAACATTGTCATTGTTGTTTTTCTTAAATTTGTCAAAACAATCATCTATATAAAACTTATATACTCATTAATAACTTCAGTTAGAGCTAATCAAGTCTTATTTTCATTCTGCTACAATAATGAACTATTATTTTCCAGGTATAAAACTTACTATTATCATTCTCAAATGTGATTGGTCCATTCAAGTCTGGATACTGAGCCATATTCAAAAGATCTTCATTCAATTTATTTAATTTCTCGCACAATTCTATATTTTCTGATTTCACATGTTCAAGATTCAATTCAGCTGACTTGTGAACTTTTTCTTTTTCTGTTAACATGTTCTTATCAACACGTAAAAAGTAGAGTATGAAATAATAACAATTTATCTTACTTTCATATCATGCAAGGAATTTTCTAGTTCGTTTAATTTTTTATTAGAACTAGTCAATTCAGAATTTAGACATTTAATTGAATTATCCTTTAAAACAATCTCTTTCTCAAATCGTTCATTAATATCAGTTAATTGATTAATTCGTGTTGAAAGCTTTTCGTGTTTTGCAGTAAGCATCTAAGAATAAACAACAAAAAAAAACAACAAAGTATATAGACAATATTCACATCTTATCAAATATTTGCCAACTAAAAAAGACTGACTAAAATGAGGTATCAGAGAATAGTTATAGCTTAGGCAAATGTGTTTAGTTGAGTTCGGTTGATTGACTAAAATAGTTCACTCATTTTTTTAAAATGAATTGTGATATATTGAACCAAAATAACTACAGGCTTATGTAATCCTAACCTGAAACAATCTATGACCAAATTGCTTGTTAACTACAAAACACTTTCAGAAATTTTCAAACAAATGTAACAATACAAAGTATGATTGTTTAGCTTTATGTACAATTAATCGAGATAACATCATCATCATCAAGAACGTCGAAAAACGGTGTTTTCATTACTCCCTAATAATAATCGACCGTAAATAGAAACTAAAGAAGTAGATTATAGTGATTAAGTATGTTCACTTCGATGAACAGAGTTACTCATTAAAATCGGAAAACCATATCGTAAATTGTTAATTTGCAAAATATCAGTTCATCATATCGAACTGGACTGTTCCTGTTACAAAACGTCAATCCATTGTCACTATTCATGCGTTTCATACAAATTCCATTGTTTACAAACTCTTCCTTTCTTGATCTTCACCCATCTTCTGCTGCCAGACATTACGTTGACACTCACGTCATATACTACTTATAAGTAGCTCGCACTACAAAAGTATCACATATCTGTGTATATTCTGACTTATAAACTTTCTTTGTTGACCAGTCAGAACTAAACAAATAATGTGAAAGTAATCTTTAAAGCATGCAAATAAATGCTGTCATTCTTATCTGATCAAGTTGGTCTTGTTTAAATATTGATTGAGCTATGGTTAGTGTATACAACGTGAAACAATTTGATATTTATGAAGCTTGTATGTTTAATAATGAATGAACATGACATTCAGAAATAACTACATGAATAAATTCATTTCAAAATTTACTGAAAATTGTGTATTCATATTTTGATTCTCCATTTCTTTCATTTCCAATAGTTTTGAAATGCGGTTACATTCATTTGTAGTGTTTTCTAGCTTATGTCGAAGTTCCAACAGACAAGATTCGACAATACATGATGGTTTCGAAAGTAAGTCGACTTCATTTAACTCAACTGTATCAACACAAAGCTTTTGGAAGTTCTCTGAAATGATCAAAGATCAAAATTAAAATCACTTAGTTATAAAAATTAATGTAAGTTTTAGTATTGGCAGTTATTGTTTAAAATCGTCACATATTATATAGTAAATACTTTATAAGTATGATGTACTTTAAAAAAGTTCAGTGAACTGGGTTAGAAGAACTTTGTTTCTCAGCTAATTAGAGGTCATACGTTACATTTATTTGGGCTTTCGAACAACCTTCAAGTCACAGGCATTTAGCGTTACAGCTGAGTCAACCGATCTGACAATGACGTGAAGTTGGCTATCCATATTCAACGTTTATATGTTAAGGAAAGTGTGACGCAGTGTAAGGCTTCACTTCATTTTCCTGAACAATGAAATGATGTTTGGAAAACGCAGTGCGCTTGGTTGGAATTCAGCAACATGTGTCTACATAAAGTTGCCTAACATTCTTGTATGGTCGTAGGTAATTGAACAAACAAGTCTCGTTATCTAAATTATAGTGTAGTGAAGGAGAACACAGGTGAGGACAACCGAATTGTATTTAACGAAAATTACAGTTACTCAGTAAAATAGGAAAACCATATCGTAACCGTTAATTTGCACATCTTCAATCCATCATCGTTCCATTAGCTGACATTTCACTTATTCATGCGTTTCATACAAATTCCATTGTGTTTCCACTCTTCTTTTCTTGATCTTCCCCCATGTTCTGCTGCCAGACATAACGTTTTCACTCACGTCATATACTACTTATAAGTAGCGCGTACCACAATAGTAATTACATACGGTGTTCACCATACATGAAATCATTTTAAATTATTGGTGACATTGATTTGTAAAATTACCCATGTTGTTTTTCATTATTTCAACTTGATTTTCTAGTTCGAGTATTCGAGATTCTTTATTCTTTATTACGTTGTTCAAATTCTCCACTTCGGTTTTGATATTCGTGTTTTCTTTCATTAAATCACTATTCTTTTTATTTAATTTTTTGATTTCTTTAGATAATTTTTCTTGGGAAGAATTAAAATTATCCTGGATATTATGAAATGAAATAGTCGCAAAAATCATAATTTTAACAATTAAAATATGTCTTCTCTTTAAGTATACACATAAGAAGATTAAATGAACTATTTTATAAATAGTATAATGAATATCAACGAAGAAAGACTTCAGAAACAGTTGATTTTGACATTTTTAGGTTATCAGTTGTAAACAAAGTAGGACTAATAACTGAATCTATACAATGGACTTCCAAAACGAGTGAAATGCAAAACGTGTTAAATTAAGATCTGTAGAGAAATAAATAGACGAATCCGTCAACTCCATCGAAACTGATATGATGCCATATCACATGAGGGTCTCCCGTCATTTATAACGATTAACAGGAGGAACCCAGTAAAAAAAGTCTGCAATTCTGAAGATTGTTGAAACTACAAGTCGATGAGTTTATGGTTTGTTGTCAGATCTTGATTCGGCTGCTCACAGCTTTCTTCCTATTGACTCATACTTCAGTGAGCATTGGCCGTAGAAATAAACAATAGTTGAGTGTGTATCGCAAAATCTGAATGTCTTTTTTAAGTCTTAGATTTTTTCTTATTCAGGCTAAGATTTTAATCCTTAAACAGAAGATTTTAACCAATGGTTGAAGAATGGATATCAACCTATGATAGAAAAGTACTTTATACAACTTTAAGGTGGCAGTTACACTAATATAGAGTCGATGTCTGATCGACTGTTTTAAGACATCATCCCCTTAATGCTTGAACGAAATTCACCATTCCTTACTAAACTTTACCGATTTGGATGAAAGTGAATGAATGGAAAGTTAAAGCATGGCATTAACTTAATGTTTTCAAACAATTTTTAATAATGCGGACAGTTTTAAACGTTTTTATTAATAGTTCGGCAGTACGATCACTTAAACTCTAAATCCAACTGGAAGACTGACCAGATCAAGGAACGGACAGTGAGTTTGGTATTTTAGAAACAAAATCTATTTTGGCCTGATTCAGCATCCTACTATTCTTTTCAAAAATGGTACGCAGTTATTTGATAAAATAAATCAAGAAGAAGAAAAAGTATATTAAGACGAGTTAGATGATATATGTCCTGGTGGATTATTTTTTCACTGTAGTCAGTACTAGAACGTGAAGTAATAAAGATTGCACTAATGGAACTACTAGTAGCCTACATAGATTAAAAATCATATACCTACGGAGAAAACATTTGGATGGCTCACACAATTAAGTAATTAGAAATACTAATGTTGATGGAAACAGATTTGAATGGATTCACTACGCTTTACATTTTCGCAGTCTAAAACGGTGCCCATTCACCTTGAGTGTTGTTTAAGTCTTATGGTTCGTATCGATTGATTTCCGCCTTTATTTAGTCAGTTATCTTCAAAGTTTAGATGTAAGTATATGGAAGATGTGTTCAAATGTTACTGAAATAAGTCAGTAAGCTCCATAAAACCAAAAACAAACTTATTACATAACTTTTAAGTGTAGATTCATTCGAATCTCTAGACGGCAGAAATGACGTTCAATAGCGTTAATGTCTAGCTCCATTCATGATTTTAATGGAACTTAACCATCTTCACGAGCTTAGAATGAGAGTTATCATGTGCTCATCAGTAACTAGGTTTGCGAAAAAATTTTCGAAGTTTCAGGGAGAAGGCGTGACCAGTGGAGTTCAGAAGTGTCGGCTCTGAGGGGTACATGGCGAGGTCAAAACCTATTGTCTTTCGTCTTCGTTCTTGTAGAAACGCACAAAGGGTTATTTTGAAATGACATACTATGTTGTCAATATTAATGTATATTAGCATAAACACGGATATGCAAGGTATTCCAACTAGTTTTCAAAATTTTATGAAGGGCGATTTGGGCAAACTGATCCAGTTAGTATCACATATACTTACTTGTTTGTCCAACATTTCTTTTGAAAGCTTAACGTTCTCTTTCTTCATTAAGTTTATTTGTTCCTCCATAATCTTGATTGAAGAACTATTAGTTTCCAAATAGTTGACCAAGCGTGTAATGTCTCGTTCGAGAAAATAGGAGAGAGACTTTGACCCATCTACTTTCCACTCATGCTGGTCTTCGGAATTTTTTACTTCATAAATAAAACGACCGATCTCAGAAGGCAGATTGTATTCGTCCATTGGTTTCACTAAACACCTTGATAAAACCTTCGTTGAAATAAAAATTGCGTCAGATTCTTACCTGGATCGTTGATAAAAAGAGCTGTGAAAAGTTTCCATCAAGGTTTTTAGATACGTAAGTTTGAGTTTCTTGAGATCTTGTTTCCAATTCAAAATTTTTACTGGTTAATGTTGAAGGTACTTGGGAAGACGAGTTATAAAAGCGTTCAACCTCAGTAACCCAATTGATTGCCTCTGCAGCAAGCTTACTTTCCACAAACCGGTCGACCTCATGAAACGTTTCTTGGTGATCTTCAACACACTGAGCATCAGCTATTTTGTTTCTTTTAGTACCTAGAAAGTTAGTGTTGGAGGATATCTTACTAACACTAATCAAGCTTAACAAATTAAACACTAATGAAACATGTTCATTGACACATGAACTCAATGAATTCGAATTTTCATAAGAAGAGCCCAAGAAGTGACAAACTGGTTTACATAGATGGCTCAAGATTTGAAATATCAATAAACATCTATTGAAATCATTAATAATTAGTTACTAATCTCATATACCTATCAATAATCATTTCCAGTAAGAACACATGTAAAATTGCATTTGAAGGTTTGCTCGAGGTAGAGAAATTGCATTTCGATAAAACAGAACGGATTTCGGTTTCAAAAGCTGATTTTCCTGGAAACTTCCAAGAGTATGCTGACTTCATATTCGCGCGTTTGTTAACTCGTTCAACAACTTCATGTAACAGATATATTTCTTCTTTGAGTTTCAGTATACAAGCTTGACTGCCGAGGGACATTGGGTTTGAAAACGTGAGACTCCAAATGTTACATCTACAAAGCTACTTAGTCAGCTTAAACAAACGTGTGAATTCTATTCCTATGACCATTTTGCGAAAATATTATATCATAGGCCTAAAAATAAATTATTCGACTGGTCATAAAAACTAATTAATTAAAATTTATTACAGATAAAGTTTTAGATACAGTCATAATTTTACAAATGTATTGTAAAGCATCCATTTTACTAAGCAGCCAAACATCTGGTCGTTGCATTCAGAAAACTTACGTCAGTTATTTATTGACTTGTTCTGACTACTATCTTCTTTATATTCTCGACACTATAATTTTGTTGCCTTTGAAACAGTAATTAATCTTTCTCACGACATCTCTACTAAAAGCCTCTAATCCGAATATTCTGTCACAATGAAAAGCTTATCTCCTTGACACGCTTGTTTGCAGTATGTTTCACTTATTCTGAACAGCGATAGGTTTCATTTTTCCATTTCAGCAGCTACACAAATAATTATCTTGGCTCCTCAAACTACACACTAATTTCGTTTAAACATTTTAATTGTTGCTCTGATAGTTAAGAGGGGAATTAACTTTGTGAGCATAACGCAGCTGCGATAACCTACAAATTCTACATTGGTACAAATGCAATGAATTTTTTCAGGCATGAAATCGTCCCTTGAGGTAGCGGTCTACTGGAATATAGTGATAATACTAATAATTATTTATTCTCGATATCCATATAGGTTACAATATGCAAGCCAAATTCACAGGCTACATCAAATCGTTACGTGTGATGCGGTAAATTTCTGATTAAACTTCATTGATCAGTTCATTCGATGAGTTATGATGAAAGCCTTACACGGAAATGACGTACCATCCGTTGTGGAATTTCTAGAATTTACCATCAACCAAAATTTTTATTAGTTTGGAGAGTTTTATTGACATTGAGTGCTGTGCAATACTGTTTTATGTTCAGTTAACGAATCGGGCTAATGGAAATGCAAAGTAAATTTCGCGGAAAGCAACTGAAAATACTCAGCCTAATGAAAGGGAGAGTGTATAGTCAAAACAACTCAAGCCACCTATTATCATCGAAATAGAAATATCCTCGTCAGTGTCATCATAAACTCCCGTTTAGACTAGCTGTTTTGGGCGTATGTCCCGCAACGTTTTTGGTGTACTATTTATCGCATATCACTGGCTTACTCTGCATCATTTACCATCGTCTGTGACGCCTCTTTACCTTTTAGTCTTTTCACGCTAACTTCAATAATAACTTACTGATACATTTAATTCTTGAAGGAACCTAGTGTGGATTCAAGTTGGTTTGTCTCAACGTGGTGAGTTCCACAGGGGACCATCTTGGGTTCACTGTCCTTCCTGATAGTGATCTGCAAGTCAAAATTAGCTCGACAGCAATTATCTACGCAGAGGATGCAAAGATCTGAATATACACAAGAAGCGAATAAAATTTAACTAACCTTCCAAATGACCTTTCATCCATTGAGTAAAAAGTTCTCAAAACTAAACCAGTCAAAATGTCGCGTAATGAACATTCTGTGCCATGTGACCCGGACGCCTTACACTTTCAAAGTAAATCCGCTATCTAATGTCTCCTCAGTGAGTAAACTCAGGTTATTTAACATAGAAGGCCTGGACATCATTTCGATCTAAATAGGGAACGCAGCCAGGGCCACACGACCCTTCACTCTATGCCAAGACAGTTTGGTGCAATCACCTTAGAATTATCCTTTACTCACTTTAAAACATAAGCACGATTAAATCTTGAGGTTTACAACGTTGTGGTACCCTCTCTTTTTAAAATAGGCATAAATATCCTAGATCGAGTGGAAAGACGATCAACTAACTAGGTGATAGAACTGAGGAACAAACCTTAAGAAGATGGACCACAGAAATTAAGTTTGTTTCAACTGAGTTATAGGAGAATCAAATTTGATCTGATAGTAGTGCACATCAGACAAAGCACTCCAAATGATCCCAACAAGTGCATCTTACCGAAGCATCACCACCACGGCCTAGTAAGCAGACCTCGAAAAATTGCGAATCCAACAAGGAAAAATCATATTCGTGAACATGTTTTTTCACAGAGGGTTTTCGCAGATGATCTTCAGTAACTTAAATGCTGTCCATGCCTTGCCTATCCGTGATTCCATATCGGCATTGAATCCAGGTTGCTCGTCTATGATGCTGCCCAGATATGTTAAGGATTTTACTTCCTCCAAGCTATCTCCACCAACAGTGATTTGGTTGGCGCACGTAGTGTTGTTTCGGAAGATCTTGCTTTTCCACTTGTGTATGCTGAGTTGACCACACACCCCCAGTGGATAGCTTTTATAAAAGACTCTAAAAACACGTACTCACATATGGACTATCATCTACCTCGTGGATCGGCCATGCCTGAAGCATTTCTTCTTATTATTATCATTATCAGCATCACTTCCTCAGATCTTTAACTTATTCTATCTAACTCATTATTTCTGATTCCTCTCCCTTGGGGACATTCTGGACGTCTCGGACAATCTTCACCACCAACTTATCAACTTATTTAATTGTTTACATAGTCCTGAGATTTTCCTCTTTTCATTAGCATTAGAATCCCTTCCCCACTATTCTTCAAGTTATACACAAATGATCTATTGTCTGGTGATGTGACACCCGACTGTATCCGGTAACCGTGCTGCCATAAGACGAATGCACTCATTCAAATCACGTAACATACAGGTTCACAAGCAACTGCCACTGACTAGAATATGTGCACACAAGTGGCCGGAACATCGTCCACTAGACACAACTAAGTACGTAGAACCTTACAGAAATATCAAGAATCAAGCGAAAAGAATTCATCTGACTTATACTAGTTCGTGTAAAAGATATTAGATACTGGACAAGAGCAATGGCTGTCAAATGGTCAGACGACAATCTTGCAGACTTTAGCATTTGCTTCGAACGATAAAGAGGAATCAGAATGTGAGCGTTAGGAGTCAAATCCATCACTGATTGCTCATAACAAATTTGACATTTCTAAACTTTGAAAGACACAATACCTCAAAGCATGTCTTATCGCGGAGGTTGCGGAAACCGGTTTCACTACCCCTTTTGGCTGTAAAACCACATTGAGAATAGAAAGTTTCGTACCAAGGTAAATAGAGTGCACGCAAGTTGGCGAGTCTCAACATCTCGCTCAATTTCTCTGTTTCCTCTCCCTTGCTAACACTTCAGTCCTCTCTTACAATCTTCACTATCAGTTAGTAAACTAAAATATCCATACGTTTACTAGGTTCTGAAATCTTATTAGTAAAATTAGAATTTTATCATTATTATTCACTACATTGTAACTAGCTGATCTCCGGTCTGGTACTGTGATAGCTGCAGATAAAACTAAACCCCCACTGCCATGAAACAAACGTACTTATACAAATCGCGGACTTACAAACTCACAATTGCTAACTGACTATAATTAGTGCACTCGAGTGTCTCTACCCCACCACCAAACACGTGAAGCGGTATCGAAAGGATAAGAATTGATCGCAAAGAAACCAATAGGTTTTTAATAGCTTGTGAAAATAACATCATATATATTGGAAATTGGACTCCGTTGACCTTGGCAATTCTTAGCGGACTAATAGAACCTCTTCGTACCATTAGTTCTTAGGTTAGTTTGTATGTTTAGATCCATCTGATTTGGTATGGCTTTATTTTATGAATTCGGGTTAGTTTTTATTTCAGTAAAGTCCGTTTCAATCAGACTATAGTTAATAATTATTTTCAAGATGATCGTTTAGGTTCGCATCAGTCATCATATTCTGTATACGTGTCAGATTTCCACCCAGTTTTTCGCATGTTGCGCATAATTTTTGTTAGTTTGTATAACTTGAAAAATTGACTAACTGAACTCTGTTTACTAGCTATAATCCCATTAGTCGCGTAATCATGGTTCATTTCAGAATTGTACATCGTTAATTTGCTAGTTTACAGGAAGTTCATGTCTTAAATATACTTTTCGAATCTCAACATATTACTCATCACGTAAGTAGATCATTCATCAATGTAATTTTCCTTTTTTAGTAGTGTTAAGCTTCCACCTCAATCCCCAAGGTCATATTCGTAAGAGTTAAGCTCAGGAAATAATGTCGGGCTTACATTTTAAATTTCGAAATTGTATGACTTATGTAGATAGACTTATAATGCTGCAATAGCTCCATCATTTTAAAAAAGCGTAAGGAATATTACCAAAGTTATACTGCATTTCTTCATATGAGAAGCTGGAAAGTTAGGTTTACAAATTAGCTATCGTATTCACTGACATTCTTTCTTTTGTATCTTGGGTCCTTTTTAAATCCCAAGCACAACTATCTTACAAATTTGGTCAGCCAATCAGTAACATTATAAAACTACGTACATACGTACGTACATCAGTTCATCTTACCATACCACATAAACACAGATGTAATTGTCAAATCAAATCCTATAGTAGTAGAGGTAGTAAAGGTACTAGCAGTAATCGAGGAGATTAGGATTAGAAGATATTATTCAAGAAGTAGAATCTTGTGAAATAAACTTGAAAAGATAAAGACAAAGTGATGGGGAGTAAAAAGGTTTTGGATTTGTGAGAACACAAAGAGTGAGTGCACCTGCGCCATAGCAAACGATTTTGAGTCATGTCATTCAGGGTCTCTAACGATCGATTATTATCATCTCGCGGACCCGCACTAAGTAGTCGACACCTACCGACATGACTCAGCCCACTTGTTATCGACTTCATGGATTTGTGCCATGTTTTGGTTTGGCCGTACCTAGCTTTCTTTCAACCTATTCCTATATCGCAAAATATAGCTCGACGAGTCAGTCGGTGGTTAGGCATACGTAACATATGTCCCAACCACCTCAACTGATGAAGTTCCATTATTTTATCTATCTATCTACCGCCTATTTCCCAATAACAGCATTGCTTACTCGTTTGTCCCATGATACACGAGCAATGCTTCGGAGACACCGATAATCGAAAAGCAGTAACCCTCGAGTATCTTCTACTGTGACTGTCCATGTTTCACAGCCATGAAGTAGGACAGGGAGAACTACTGCGCAGTACACTCGTCCTATAATCAGCCGCTAAAATTGGACGACCCTCCTTAAAAATTTTGGGTCAGTCTATCAGAACCCGCTGCTCTCCCTCGCTTCAGATTTTCTGTCGCTTTCTCAACTTCATAAAGATTCGGACGACTTATGTTGGTTTCTTATTCAGGTTGACTGGAGATCATGGGCAACCGAAGTGTGGCTGAAGGCCAATTGAGCTGATCCCTGAAGTGTTCTGCTCATCGATCCAATCTCCTGGATTGAGAATGAATAATGAGAATATCCTTTTCCGAGATAGTTTCACTCTCATTCAGGTTCCTAATACCGGTTTCCCTGATAAGTCTGAATAGCTGCCTACTGTTGCCTATCGCTGTTGCCTTTTCCATCTCCCTTGCTTTGCTACCCACCACTGTTTTTGATGATTGCGAAGGCTTTTTATCAGCCTGAGCCTGAGCTGACTCCGCTCCTCATCGTACTCAGGACTAGGCGGAATGAGATTTCGAACATCAGTTCGTAGATGCTAATGAGACCCAGGGCTTCTTCCTAGCCATATCGTTTACCTTACCGGAAGATATCACTGCTGTTTCCACAGCGTTTTTGATATCGTTCCAAGCTGCCTCAGGGTGGGCCTCACTTACTACATGGCTGCCTAACTGTTTTTCTAGTTGTTCCTGAAATATATTCTTAGCGTTATTATCATTAAGTAGTGACCTAAGAGGTTTCCTTGCGATATTTATCTTGCATCCAGTAAGGCGCAAACAAATACGCGCTGGCACTAGATCATGGTCTGAGTCTAACCAAGTGCTCCAGAATGAGTGGCAGTCTTCAACAGAGCCTCTCCACCGATGGCTTATAGCGATGTGATCTAGTTGGGTCCAACGTTGTGAAGAGTTTAGGGGTCGCCAGGTCGAAAGGTGTTTTTCCTTATGCTTAAAGCTAATGTGTGCTAAGGATAGGCCGTTAATACTATATTAGAGAGCCTAACGTTTTGAAGGTCTGAAAGCTTTATGTGAAACTCATCTTTCTCCTCGTCTGAACTGCAGTCAGTGGGAGCGTAAGCATATACGACGATAAGGCAACGGCGAGTGTCCCTATCCTTCCGAGTCCGTACCGTGTACTAAAGAAGTACATTAACCTTATACAAGCTCTATGCTCGAACACCACTGGTTGAGTGAGAGCTTTTGACGAACTGTCACCGGAATTCTTTACTTCAAGTGGTGTCCACCAGGGCTGTCCACTCTCTCCATTCTTGTGTAATTTTATCATAGACATGCTCCTAGATATTACCTTATCCTCGTCTTAATTTTCAGGAGACCTTTTACCAGGAGGCTCGCTTATCGTCTTAGAGTATGCCGATGACATAGTCCTACTTGGTGAAGACGCTCAAAAAATGCAGTCTTCTAACTACCCTGAGCAACAATGCAAGCATGTTCTGGATGCGGTTCTCACCCTCGAAATGCAAAATGTTGCTTCAAGATGTGCTTGCATCGGCACCGGAACTAGGGATAGGGAGTGAAGTAGTTGAGCGCGTCGATCGCCTCACTTATCTCGGGAGTCTGATCAGTGCTGATGGCCTGGTGACTGACGAAATCTCAGCTCGGATACAGAAGGCTCGATTGGCTTTTGCCAACCTGCGTCACTTATGACGTAGGCAAGATATCTGTTTGCTAACCAAAGGACGAGTGTACTGCGCAGCAGTTCGCTCTGTCCTACTATACGGATGCGAAACATGGCCGTTAAGAGTAGAGGACATTCGTAGGTTACTAGTCTTCGATCATAGGTGTATTCCGAAGCATTGCTCTTGTATCCTGGGAGGACCGAGTAAGCAATCTTGTCGTCAGGAAACGAGTACTAGGTAAGGATGGCAGATCAATAGATTAAATGGTGAAACTTCATCAGTTGAGGTGGTTGGGACATGTGTTACGTATGCCTAACCACCGACTGCCTCGACGAGCTATGTTTTGTGGTGTAGGAGCAGGTTGGAAGAAAGCTAGAGGCGGCCAGACCAAAACATGGCAGAAGTCCATGAAGTCAGTGACAAGTGGACTGAGTCATGTTTGTAGATGTAGACTACCTGGTTGGGTTCCGCGAGACGAAAGTCACCAATGGTTAGAGACCTTGAACGACATGACTCAGAATCGTTTGCAATGGCGCAGGTGCATCACTCTTTGTGTGCTTTTTAATTCTAACCTTCTGAATTCGTCATAATCTCTATCTTTCTACTTCTAAATTTATCTCACTTAATTATACTTTTCGAATCATATCTTTGCTCCCTATACTTCTCCATTACTGCTAATACTTCTATCATCGCTATCATTCTTGTATTTGAACTGACAGTTGCATCTCTGTGCTGACGTGGTATGGCAAGCTGAACTGATGTACTTATGTACGAACTTCTGCGTTGTATCTGTCTGTCTGAGCGGTTGTAACTCCCCGGCTGCCTACATCGCAAAAGGGTTTTGATTGTCAGAAGAGGGATCGCCCTCATGACTTCCGAAGGACCTCGGCTTTCATCGTTAGACGCCATAATTATTCTAAATGAACACCTAACTCCGAGAGTAGATTTTATATGGTTTGAATTATTTTTTGTTGTTAGCATTTTCTTGGCAAGTAAGTTTTTTCCGGGATGGGGTCGCCAACCCACATCTCAACCTTCCTCCTTTACCCGAGCTTGGGACCGGCAGTAGCTCCGAAGGGTCTGTCGGCGGCGTTATCTTACAAATTACCTCTTCTTGGAGTTCTGGCTAGCAATAGGATTGTGAGCTGTCGTGACATAAGGTTATTCCGTAAATGCAATTTCAAAATTCACTACAGCTAAATTTCGTCTTCTGTTTAACTGTTAAGTTTTTCTAAAGGAATTCATAAGAATGATTGTAGTAAGGCAGTTTCACTCGTATGCATCTAAAACCGCGAAATTAGATAATGATAATCATACAGGAAACATTGATTTTAATCAAGCACTTTAAGAAGGTATCATATGTCACTACAAGCCATCGATCGAGCAACTAAACTGTAATTTATGCAGTATCTGTTAGTATCTACTCTACATAATTTTTTAGGCAACGCAAGTCGATTATATATAAAGTTTAATATTGGTACTACAGTTATCAGGCTGTAATCTTCTAAACTAGGGCAAGACAGTTAATGTTCTGGAAACGGTTTAACCTAGTTTGGAGAAACGTCCAGAATACTGGATTATTACCTCGATTATTTAAGCTAAATTGTCTGACCGGTGCATTTTAACTCACGTGTTTAAAAACGTAGTTAATCTTTCTTCATACAATTTAAAAGTGAAAAAAGCTATAAATGAGTCAGTCAGTCGGTTACAACGTAGAACTTTGTACGTACGTATATAAATTCAGGTTGCCATAGCACATTAGCACAGAGAAGCAACCGTCATTTCAGATCCCATAGTAGTAGAAGTATTAGCGATAATGGAGAAGATTAAGGTCCAAAGAAATTGTTCAAGAGCTATAAATGAAAGCTATAATAAAGAATCGTGCATTTTAACCAATATTATTTTCCAAGATTTTAGGGTCAATTGTTTCCAAATTCCCTTTTTGTCTTTGTTGATTATCAAACGTGTTTTACTACCAGTGTATATATACATTTTTTCGCAGTTTTATTAGACTTTGCGATCATCAACGTATTTGTACTACCTAAAAATGAGTATCTTGTACCAATCAATGAGATGATGCATAGATCGAAGTCTAATCAGATGCTTCAAGTCGAACATCTTCAAGAACTCTACGATCACTGGACTAATTGCAAATCATTAATTAACGAAAAGGATAATGCTGTTCTATCCATCTCCAAAATTGAAACTGTGTTTTATCATGTCGGTAAAATTATACTGCTAGTTATTGATGAACACTTTTCTAATAGTAAGTCTTATCTGCCATAACATAATTTGATGGTTAACCATGTTAAGAGTTTTATATCCAAGAAGTGCACGACAAACTATTTATAATTCTGTCTCATCATAATCCTTGTTTAGTGTTCACAAGGTTTCGAGATGTGATCGCTTTGAGAGTGCAAATTAGATCTTATTAATTTTGTTCATTGACAAATAATTATTGAACAGAGGGGCACCCAAGTTTATATTCCTTCTCAGATCAATGAACCTGCCTGTGGGCCGAGATACTACTCCAGCGCATGTGCTTATCATAGCAGGTTATTCATTGGGGTTTTGATATAAAGATCTAATCCTCAAGACAGAACAACGTCAGGAAATGCAATTCCATAGTAGCTAGTGATCAACAGTAGCTTGACACGCCATTCGTTCCGTCAGGATCCTGGAACTCTTGTGCACCATTGGTTTTTAATGAGTGTTTTCGAACCCATCTAGGTGGATCCTCCATGCTCATCAACTCAGTTGAGGCGCCATACACTTGCTTTTCGGTCCCTCAATTTTGTAAATGACATGCCGGCTGCACGAGAAGGCAGTGAGTAGGACTTCCCTGTCTGTGACTGTGTACACATGTTTGTATGCGAGCATTTGGACTGGACTCTCTTCACTCTAGGCCGTACGAGGGCAGTTATTTGGATGATTAACTGTTATCAGCCATTTTTATACACCTCTGATAGAATAGTGCTATGAGAAATATAAAAATCGTTTAGTCTTTTTTATTGACTCAAACTTCACACAAAAACACGTTACTTTCTTAATTTGTGTAAAGTGATGTTCTTATTTTTGTTATATGGTCAAGTTTAAGCTGTTAGCATTTAAAATCTCCATAGGTGTTCTAAATGTCAAAATAAGTGACGGTCGACAGGGTATAGGATACTCCATTGATTTTGTATAGTAGAATTTTATTACTTAACGGAACAAATTTTCGATTGTTAAGATGGAAGAAGAGAAACATCAACCGATGAAATGTGATGGTACAAAATGAACAAACGATAGCTGGTCACAAGACCAAACTATTGACATAATTCCCCGAATGATTTGAGATTAAAGATAAAAGTCCATCCTGTCACTTGAGATCTTAACTAACCAATCATTCTCGTGTGTATTTAAAGTTGAGGCTATGGTGTGACAGACTCAAATAGTACTTATTTTTATCGGAATACTTCAGTTTTTTGTTTTCCTTGCTTGTAGACCGTGTTACTGATTGATGATAAGTAGGTTAAAGTAACGTCATTACTTCTGGTTAAACGGTTAAACCCAGTGTGATTAAATGGCTATGAAAATATGGTCTCATCTTTATAATCTGAGTAAAGATTTTTAACTGCTCACTGAATAGTTGAAATTTTAAACGTTAGAAAGGTTATTTTAAATTCATTTTGTAAGTTAATTGCTTCATCCGCTTGTTTCTGAAAATGGTCTGGCAATCTTTTTGGAAATAATTGTTACCGCTAATATTCTTTAAAACTTGCACTCTTTGTGGATTTTATATTATCTCTGCCTATTATCAACTTTCAAAATATTCCTCTCGCTACAACAGATTTTCTGAAATTTGTTCAACTTGCTCACATTGCCAATATTTTTTAGTACGCCTGTGTATCAGTCAGTCAGTCAACAACAACATAGAACTTGGCACGTACGTACATCAGTTCATGTTGCCATACCACTTTAGCATAGAGATGCAATAGTCACTTCGAATCCCATTGTAGTAGAGATAGTAGAAGTGTTAGCAGTAATCGGAGATTTTAGGGTTTGACGATATTATTCAAGAAGTAGAATCTATTGAAATAAACTTAAAAAAATAAAGGCAAAGTGATGAGGAGTTAAGAAGGTTACGATTTGAGAGAACATGAAGAATGAATGCACCTGTGCCATTATAAACGGTTTCGAGCCATGTCATTCAGGGTATCTAACCATCGATTACTATCACCTCACAGGCCCCAACATGGCTCAGTCCATTTGTTATCGACTTCATGGATTTGTGCCATGTTTTGATCTGGCCGTACCTAACTTTCTTCCAACCAGTTCCTACACCGCAAAATAATAGCTCGACGAGGCAGTCGACGGTTAGGCATACGCAACACATGTCCCAACCACCTCAAGTGATGAAGTTTCATTACTTCATCTATTGATTTGCCACCCATTCCCTAATAACAGCATTGCCTACTCGGTTGTTCCATGATACACGAGCAATACTTCGGAGACACCTATGATCGAAGACTGGTAACCTACGACTATCTTCTACTCTGACTATTCATGTTTCAGAGCCATGAAGTAGGACGCAGCGAACTACTGCACAGTCCACTCGTCGTTTGGTTAGCAAACGGGTATCTCGTTTACGCCACAAGTGACGCAAGTTGGCGAAAGCTAATCGAGCCTTCTGTATTCGTGCTGAGATTTCGTCAGTCACCACAAGTGGTTACGCTGTAGTTTGAATATATGAACTGAATATTGAAACTGCTGAGTCTTTGTTCAACATTACGGTCAATTGGATATTATCGGTAATAGTAATATAAAAGTCTAAAGAAGTATCATTATTTAGAATCGATTTCTTTACTTTTTTGTAGCATTAATTTCTAATAGATTTTATTGTTAAAAAACTCTTTTTTTTTCTATTGTGTTCCTTTTTTGAAGCAGTTGAAAAAGATAAATTAGTCGAAGGTTCATATCTTGAAGCATTAATTAAAACTAATATTTTTGAATTACTTCTCATTTGGATCGAAGGAAATCCAACACCGAAAGACGAAAAAGCTATCGGAATTCGTGATATACTAAGACGATATTTAATTACCGCTTTTGATCAGTTGATAACACAATCAAAACAAAGTGTTTTACTACATCGACCGATTCTTCAACCTTTATGCCAATTTTTATTCAAGCTATCCTCACAATTACGACCTAGTTACGATCAAATCTATGGACGTTTATTACATGAAGTTTGCATTTTGTTATGTAGAAATTTTCAATTATTAGAATTTAGTAAGAAAGTAAGTGTTTCTGAATACTTTTTATAATTTACTTATTCCTTATGTGTATATATGTTAGAAATTAAATTATCAAAACACTAGCAGTCAGTCAGTCAGTCAGTCAGTTGCAACGTAGAACTTCGTACGTATGTACATAAGTTCATGTTGCCATACCACATTAGCACAGAGACACAAATGTCAAATCAAATCCCATAGTGATAAAGATAGTAGAGGTATTAATGGTAATGAAGAAGACTAGGGTTTGAAGATATTATTCAAGAAGTATAATTCAGTGAGATAAGGTTAGAAAAACAAAGGTAGAGGTGCTGACGATTCCAGAAGATTAGGATTTGAGAGAGCTCAAAGAATGAATGCATTTGCGCCATTGCAAACGATTTTGAGCCATGTCGTTCAACGTCTCTAACCATTGGTGACTTTCGTCTCGCGGACCTCAACCAGACAGTCTACACATACTAACATGACTCAGTCCACTTGTCCGTGACTACCTGGATTTCTGCCATGTTTTGGTCTGCCACCCCTAGCTTTCTTCCACCCTACTCCTACACCACAAAACATAGCTCTTCGAGGCAGTCGGTGGTCAGGCATTCGTAACACACGTCCCAACCACCTCAACTGATGAAGTTTCAATGCTTCATCTATTGATTTTCCATCCTTACCTAGAACTCGTTTCCTAACAATAGCATTGCTTACTCGGTTGTCCCACGATATACGAGCAACGCTTCTTAAACATCTATGATCGAATACTAGTAACCTACGAATGTCCTCTACTCTTAACGGCCATGTTTCACAGCCATATAGGAGAACGGAGCGAACTGCTGCGCTCAAAACACTAGCATGATATGATTATATTCTATCAGTTCAAAGTCATTTAACCTATTACAGCGGTGATATTAACATGCATCCATTCTTTTTGTTCTTTCGAATTCTAATCATCTGAATCTCCCATGACCTTGCTCTTTTTAAATTTATTCCACTGTGATATACTTCTTGAATCATATCTTCAATCCTTAATCTTTTTGATTGCCGCTAATACTTCTACTACCTCTACTACTATGTGCTTCGAATTGAAAAATCGATCTCTGTGTGCCAATGTGGTCTGTCAACTTGGACTGATTTTGTACGTACGTACGAAATTCTACGTTGTAACTGACTGTCTGACTTACTGATGGTGATGTTATGTGCTTACAGAGCATATGGTAGCTGCCAAATCATCACCTAATCGCACATATATAATGCTAGCTGAAGTATAATTAAATTAGTATAGCTGTGGAGTAGAACAGACTAAGGCATAAAATCAATTCATAAAACTTATCATCCAAAGCGAAATTTCGCTTCAAACAGATTCTGTTTAAATCGTAAGCATTTTAATATTGTTCATGTAATTTTCTTCTCCTTGATCTTGCTTCCTATACTAATATTGTTTTAATTTTGTACTTTTCATAAAAAATTTTTATGCAGTGAGTGAGTTAATCGAAAGAAACATTGTAAATCAATTTCATTTAACTATTGCACCTTCCCATCTACAATGCTGCTACACAGCATCCAGTTCAAAGTTATAATGTAGCCGTTGTCTTAATGTTTTCTACTTTTCAATGCATTTTCTATCTGATTTTAGATTATGATAAAAATGACTTTGAAAGTGTGATTGTTTCCAGCTTGTACAATGTGTTAATCATTTTCTTTTTATAATTAACAGTTCTTTGTTGTCTCCTAATAGTTATCATTACACACACACAAATTACCGATATCTTCCGTATCTATCAATGCTTAAGTTTAAAAATTTAACTTTGAAATTGCTTAGTTTAAAACATTTCACTAAAGTATCCACACACAACAACAAAATCGTTTTATGTTCAGTGAATATGAATTTTCTAAACAGAATTTAGTATCCCAATTTAATTTCAGTAGTTTCAAATAAAGTGACTTTGATTAATATGCGTTCTGCAATAGACAAATAATTGTGTTACGCTTGTCTCTAGGTATGCTTAGGCTATTACGGGTTCACCTTAGTCGAATAACGAGAATAAAACAAGGAACCAGCGTCCAGGTAGGCTACTGTGATCCCTTGACCAAATCAAATCAGCAAGAAATTGTATTCTACAAACACCTAGTCAGCACACAATGAATCCAAGCACTCAAATTGCGTTTATTTATGCTCTATAGAGACGTCCTTGTGACAATCACAAAAATAGCACACTAAAATGACACAGTAACCAATCACAGCCAAGGATTTTCCTGGTGTGAAATGTAATCTCAAGCTCAACTGATTGGCCCATGAAATAAATCCAAAATAAAGATATTTATCAAGCGAGTTCTGGTGATCTAACATCCCCAACAAATTGACAGATATTAGATTTATACTTAACGGTGCTTATGTTTAGACAAATGTAAAATATTTGGATTTTACTTATGGAATAATGTACTTATTATTTTATTGTAATGAAATGATGCTAAGATTTCTGAAATAAAAACACTATTAAATATTAAAAAATGACTTAGTCAGTTATCAATTATTTTCAAATACTAAATGTACATACTTAGTGTTGCTTGTTTTATATTATCATTTATTAGCATTGATTGATCATATTCAATGAATTGATCTTCTCTAAATCTGATGAATTTTAATGCTATAATTAATCGGAACGTTTCTTACAGCATTATTGACTTTTACTTCACAAATGACTGTTGTTGTTTTAGCCCTTTACAAATAAAATATGAATGAAGTTTGTCCACATCCTGTCTTTGGTGTAAGTTGATTTTGGATTAGTCGCTGAAAGAGTGGTTTAGTTATAAACATTTACACATGGGAAAATATCTGTTGATGTGCTATTTCTTTTTTTATGCAAGTTTATTCATTGAATCCATTCTGAATTGTGTACAAAGAGATTTTATACGAATTGTTTTTTTAATTTGTGATTTAAATTTATTTAAACGCTTCGGTACAAAGACTCATCTATGCATTTATGCGCCATACAAATTTAATTTGTAAGTGGGATGATTTACTTACTGTCCAGGTGATTTTCTTAGAAGCCTTTGATCCAAAAGCCTAATTCACAAAGCAGCGGAGCAACGTTAGGAAATGCAGTTCTATGGTAGCTAGTGACCATCAGTGGGTTGATACACCATTCGTCCCGTCAGGGTCCTGGGACCTATATGCGCCATTAATTTTTAATGAGAGTCTTCAAACCCACCTAGGTGGATCCTCTATACCCATCGACTGAGTTGAGGTGCTTTTCATAGAATTTTTGTCAACCACATGCCGGCTGCACGAGAAAGCAGTGAGTAGGACTCCCCTCGCAGTTACTATATACACGCGCCTATATGAGAATATTTGGACTGAATTCTTCTTATTCTTGGCCGGATGACTCGAACTGTACCATCTTCCTGTTTTACTGTTCATTCAGTTTTTTTTAGTTGTTCTATGAAATCGTGAACTGTCAGTCTGCATTCTGTGATTCTGTATTCAGAGTACATAATTAAAGTCAATTATATTCATGTGTATAGTTGTAAAGTTAAACGATTATAACTGATTTAAAAATTCTTTAACAATAGTTCCGGTGAGTATCAGTTGCAAATTGAATTGAATGCAACTTGTTTGAATTTACGTTGGAATTCATTGATGAAAACATTTAAAACCATGATAATTAGTTCCTGTCACCCATCCTATTGGTTTATATCACAAATGTTCAGTATAAATATCATGGATGAGTTGACTTTAAGTTCACTATGTATATATATATAAACTTTAAAACATAATCTAGACATTATGTCAAGTGATACTGTTGTCCAACTAATAAACATTATCGAATTGAGTTAAAAATTCTGTGTATGTTTAGTTTTTAATGCTTAGTCATTTGTGTAGTTCTGCTTTTTATTTGTGAAAATATTCAATAATCTATTGTTTACTTTTAAAATAAACAAATTTTTTTTTATCTGACATCAATTTGTATGTAATAATAAATGTGACATTGATATGTTTCGGTTTAACTAATTGTCTACTTTTTTGCATTGGAGAATTGACCAAAAGTAAAAGTAATAATCATGATGAAACAGGTAGCTTAGAGATCTAGAGCTAAATACTCATCCACCATTCTGTGCTGTGCTGCCGATGTACATATGTATTGGGTATAATTTTGCATATGACTAACTGATGCATCGAACGATTTGTTATTAAAATAATCAGTAATACGGTTTTCGGACAAATATACTGATCTTCTCTATACGTAGTCTAAATGACAATGAGATGTAGTAATGCAGTTTAATTGCTTATACTAGACTATGTCTTACATTTTATGTAGAATCTATGTCGTAAGATATTACTGAAACTCTGTTGACCTGGCGACCTCCAAAGTCGTTTCAACGTTGGACTCAACTAGATCACATCGCCATCAGCCACCGATGGAGGGGTTCGATAGAGGACTGTCGCTCGTTCTGGAGCACATGTCTAGATTCAGATCATGACGTAGTGCGAGCGCGTATTTGTTTGAAGCTTACTGGGCGTAGGAAAGACACCGTAAGAAAGCCTCTTAGGGTTTTACTTAATGATAATAAGGCGAAAAATATATTTCGGGAACAACTAGAAAGACAGTTAGACGACCATTTAAGCGATTCCTATCCGGAAGCAGGATGGAATGATATCAAAAAGGCTGTGGAAAGAGCAGTGATATCTGCTATTAAGCTTGACCATAAGGCTAGAACGAAACCGTGGATCTCAGTAGCATCCACCGATCTGGTGGATGCCCGAAAACTCATCCCACCTGGCTCTGAACATGATGAAGAACGAAGTCAACTTAGGCGCAGACTTATAAAAAGCCTACGTAACGATCGCGAACAGTGGTGGGTGGCGAAAGCAAAAGCGATGGAAAAGGCAGCGGCGATCGGCAACGGTAGACAACTTTTCCGACTTATCAAGGAAACTGGTATTAGGAATCCTAGTGTAAGTGAGACTATCTCAGAAAATGACGGGACTATTATTTATTCTCAATCCAGGAGACTGGATCGATGGGCAGAACACTTTAGGGATCAGTTCAACTGGCCTCGAGCCACTCTTCGGTTACCCACGATCTGCAGTCATCTTGAATGGCGAATCGACTAAGTCCCCCCCAGTCTTAATGAAGTTGAAAAATCGTTAGGAAATCTAAAGCGAGGACGAGCTGCAGGGTCCTGATAGACTGACCCCTGAGATATTTAAGGATAGGTGGTTCAGTTTTAGCAGCTAGGTTGACTGAGATCTTAGGTAGAATCTGGGAACTGGACGTAATCCCATCCGACTGGTCTCAATCACTGATTGTCCCAATCTATAAGAAAGGACAGAAGTCAGTCTAACTAATATAGTATCTAAAATATTGGCCTCAATAATACTTCGGCGCTTAACGAAAGCTCGTGGAGAGCACACTAGAGAGAAACAGGCTGGTTTTCGACCTGGACGTGGCTGTATGGACCACATTTTCACACTACGACAGGTCCTGGAACACAGACACACATTAAGGCGTCCTACAATAGTTGTTTTCCTGGACCTTAAGGCGGCATTTGACTCAGTGGATCGTGAGGTTCTGTGGCAGTGTCTGTCATTGAAAGGTGTACCAAAGAAGTACATTAACCTTATACAAGCTCTCTACTCTAAAACTACTGGTCGAGTGAGAGCTTATGGCGAATTGTCACCGGAATTCTCTACATCAAGTGGTGTCCGTCAGGGATGTCCACTTTCTCCATTCTTGTTTAATTTTATCATAGACATGCTCCTAGACATAACATTGTCCTCGTCTGAATTTTCTGGAGTAGACCTTCTACCAGGTGGCTCGCTTATTGACTTAGAATATGCCGATGACATTGTCCTACTTGGTGAAGACGCTGACAAAATGCAGAGTCTTCTGACTACCCTAAGCAACAATGCAAGCATGTTCGGAATGCGGTTTTCCCCCTCGAAATGCAAAATGTTGCTTCAAGATTGGGTTTCATCGGCACCTGAACTAGTGATAGGGAGTGAAGTGGTCGAACGTGTAGACCGCTTCACTTATCTTGGGAGTCTCATCAGTGCTGATGGCCTGGTGACTGACGAAATCTCGGCACGGATACAGAAGGCTCGATTGGCTTTTGCCAACCTGCGTCACTTATGGCGTAGGCGAGATATCCGTTTGCTGACTAAAGGACGAGTGTACTGCGCAGTGGTTTGCTCCGTCTTACTTTTTGGCTGTGAAACATGGCCAATGAGAGTAGAAGATACGCGTTGGTTATTGGTTTTCGATCATAGGTGTCTTCGAAGCATTGCTCGTATATCCTGGGACACCCGAGTGAGCAACGCTGTTATTAGGAAACGGGTACTAGGTAAGAATGGCAGATCAATCGATGAAGTGGTGAAACTTCATCAGTTGAGGTGGTTGGGACACGTGTTGCGTATGCCTAACCACCGACTGCCTCGTCGAGCTTTGTTTTGTAGTGTAGGAATAGGTTGGAAGAAAGCTAGGGGCGGCCAGACCAAAACATGGCATAAATCCATGAAGTCATTGACGAGTGGACTTAGCCATGTCGGTAATTGTCGACTACCTGGTTGGGGTCCGCGAGATGATAATAATCGATGGTTAGAGACCTTGAATGATATGGCTCAAAATCGTTCGCAATGGCGCCAGTGCATTTATTCTTTGTGTTCTCTCAAATCCTAATCTTCTGGGTTCTTCAACACCTCTAGTTTTTACTTTCTAAACTTATCTCATTGAATCATACTTTTTGAATAATATCTTCTAAACCTAACCTGTCGGATTACTTCTAATACCTTTACTACCTCTTCTACTATTGGATTAGAATTGACAATTATATCTCTGTGCTGATGTGGTATGGCGACATGAACTGATGTACTTACGTACGAAGTTCTACGTTGCAACTGACTGACTGACTAATATTCCATTTCG